CCGACTTAAGAAATTCGTCATCGTTATTGGTCGTGAGCGGGAGTCGAACTCGGGTGGCTGGGTTTGTAGTTCAACGTGATAACAACTGCACTATGACCCCACTCATATATACACACAAAGACCCCCCCGTATAGCCTGTAACAGACTGTTGGGGCAAGTGCTGTTAGCGAGCACCTATGAAGGTCGGCTCGGCACACGAGGGGGTGGGTGGCCAGCACCACGCCCGACCGCCTTTGTCTCCCCCAGTGGCGATGTTTACACACCCCACCAGGTACTCATTTGAGGCTGAGTCGACCTAGGGGAGGCCCAGGACCGGTTCAAACAATCGTCACTGTGGTGTTTGCCGTGAGTGGGAATCGAACTCGGGTAGCCAGGTTCTCAGTTGCAGCGCGCTAATCGCGACACCACCGCTCCCCAAACACGCACACGTTGACATCCAGCACACTGACTCAACGTGTTTCCGAAAACTGAGCATTTCCCCAACATAAATATTGTAAGCATTCATTGTAAAAGGGGTTTGAAATGTTGCAGGCAGTACTACTGTACATCACAATGTATCCTGGGGAGCACGCAGCCATATCCATAGGGATAGTCGTCGGATGTTTTAATTCAGTTCCGTGTGTGTGTGTGCTGTTTCCACTGCGTCGCTGGGTTTCTCTCGTGTGTCTTTATTCTGGGTGCCGTGTCTGCTGGACACTGTATCTGCTGGACACTGTCTGTCTGCCGGACACTGTGTCTGCCTGCCGTGTCTGCCCGTAACAACTCCCACTGCCGTGGGCACGCGTTCCACTGTCTGCATCCCCCCCCTCCCCAAATGTATCCTCACATCTCATCACTGTTTGGCTCTCTCTCTGTCTCTCTCCTCTCGTGACAATTGTCTCTGTGTGTCCGCGTCTCTTCTCCATCCCATATTCTCTCCGTTTTGTGCGCATCGATGTCTCTCGCTCGGCCATCCGGTTGAAACTCGGAAGAATTGTCGCTCAATCCATTAAAAAAAACAACAATAACAACGACAATAATGTTTTAGTTTTGTTACAACATGAAACACAATTATGGAGAAACTGCGGGTCTTGTTTAGAATGCATCATCACGTTTGTGAAGCGGTTATAATACGTTAGAATGCGTTCCGTCCGTCTTACAGACGCTGCCACTAAGATCAGCCACACTTTGTTCGTACAAAAACGCATTAATTATAAACGCAACATCTGCATCCTCCCCCACCCACCAACCCCCCACCGTCTTTGTCTCTCTCTCTTTGGTGGAGCGTTGGCGCCATGAACCCTGTAATATGAGTTCAATTCCTGGCCACGGGGCCAACGTCAGCAGCAACGATCTGAACCGGTCCCTCGGTCTCTCCCCCAAAGCTCGACTCAACATCACATGAGTGCCTGGTGCGGTGTGTAAACATCGTCACTGGGGAGACAAAGGCGACCGGGCGTGGTGCTGGCCACCCACCCCCTCGTGTGCCGTGCAGGCCCTAATAGGTGCTCGCTATCAGCACTTGCCCCCGCAGCCTGCACGGATATAGAGATGATCTTTCTCTTGGTGTGTCTCTCGTCATCCAAGCTCTCCCTCCCTGTTGCTGCTTGTTTTCCACTGCCCATTAGATCTTGCTTGCTCTCTCTCTCTCTCCCTCCCATGCTCTCCCTCCCTCCCCTCCCTCTCCCTGCTCCCTCCTTCTCCCCTCTCCCTCCCATGCTCTCCCTCCCTCCCCTCTCCCTCCCATGCTCTCCCTCCCTCCCCTCTCTCTCCCATGCTCTCCCTCCCTCCCCTCTCTCTCCCATGCTCTCTCTCCCTCCCCTCTCTCTCCCATGCTCTCCCTCCCTCCCCTCTCCCTCCCTGCTCTCCCTCCCTCCCCTCTCTCTCCCATGCTCTCCCTCCCTCCCCTCTCCCTCCCATGCTCTCCCTCCCTCCCCTCTCTCTCCCATGCTCTCCCTCCCTCCCCTCTCTCTCCCATGCTCTCTCTCCCTCCCCTCTCTCTCCCATGCTCTCCCTCCCTCCCCTCTCTTTCCCTGCTCTCCCTCCCCTCTCCCTCCCTCCCCTCTCTCTCCCATGCTCTCCCTCCCTCCCCTCTCCCTCCCTGCTCTCCCTCCCTCCCCTCTCTCTCCCTGCTCTCCCTCCCCTCTCCCTCCCATGCTCTCCCTCCCTCCCCTCTCTCTCCCATGCTCTCCTTCCCTCCCCTCTCTCTCCCTGCTCCCTCCTTCTCCCCGCCCTGCGTCTCTTTTTTACCATCAGAGGAAATAAGAAAGTGTAGTCGGCACTTCGCTTCGTTCATTATTTTTTCAATGTTTTGCTTTATGTGCCCCCCCTTCCCCTGTTTAAATGAAAGATTTCACGAAAGATTTCACGCTCAGCTCTCCTCCTTCTTACCCCTTCCCTCTCTCTCTACCCCCTCTCTCTACCCCCCCTAACTCTCTACCCCCTCTCTCTACCGCCCCCCCTAACTCTCTACCCCGTCTCTCGCTACTCAATGTCCTACGGCCTCCTCTAGCGCCCACTGCTCTCATGCTCTCTCTCTCCCTCCCTCCCCTCTCTCTCCCTGCTTCCTCCTTCTCCCCGCCCTGCGTCTCCCGCTCTTCCTGCCTCTATCACCCCTGCGGCTCCCTCCTCTCTCTCCTTGCTTTACTCTCTCTCCCTGCTCCTCTCCCCCCGCTTCTCCTCCCTCCCTCCCTCCCACCCTCCCTCCCTGCGTCTCCCTCCTTCCCCTCTCGCCTCGCTTCTCCTCCCTCCCACCCTCCCTCCCCGCGTCTCCCTCCTTCCCCTCTCGCCTCGCTTCTCCTCCCTCCCTCCCCGCGTCTCCCTCCTTCCCCTCTCGCCTCGCTTCTCCTCCCTCCCTCCCCGCGTCTCCCTCCTTCCCCTCTCCCCCCGCTTCTCCTCCCTCCCTCCCTCCCTCCCTCCCCGCGTCTCCCTCCTTCCCCTCTCCCCCCGCTTCTCCTCCCTCCCTCCCTCCCTCCCCGCGTCTCCCTCCTTCCCCTCTCGCCTCGCTTCTCCTCCCTCCCACCCTCCCTCCCCGCGTCTCCCTCCTTCCCCTCTCGCCTCGCTTCTCCTCCCTCCCCGCGTCTCCCTCCTTCCCCTCTCGCCTCGCTTCTCCTCCCTCCCACCCTCCCTCCCCGCGTCTCCCTCCTTCCCCTCTCGCCTCGCTTCCCTCTCCCTCCTCCTGCCTCCTCCTTCCTCCCCTCTGCGCCGCTGTTCCGCTGCGTCTCCGCGCGCTCCAACTTCTTCCTGCGCCACCGTGCAGGTGACGGTGGCGCAGCAGCGCAGTGGGAGCAGCGCAGTGGTCACGGTGACACGCATCGATTGGGTCGTGCGCGTGACGGTGCCTTATTGCGGCTGCACGTTCGCAAAACATTGCTCGTGCTGAATTATGCAAACTTGCTTTAAGCCCACATTGTAGGAGCGGTGGCGCAGCGGTTGACGCACTTGCGCTGTAAACTCGGTGTGCTCTTGTTGAGCTCAATCCCTCGCCGCGGCTAGCATCAGTGGCGAGGACCCCCCCTCCTCCTCCTCTATCCCCTCCTCCGCCGATCCACACTGACCGGCGTGGTGAAGTATGGTCGAACGAGCCCCGTGCCCAACGCGGTTAGGGTGGAGGCCTCCATCCAGCAGCGGATTTGACAAGAGGCCTGTAAATAACTGCATGGCGCGCACAGTCGCGATCCTGGCTGTGCGGCTCATGTAAATCTCGAACGATGTTCAGAGTCCCAATCTTTGTTTAGATCGCAGGAGCAATCCGATGGGCTCTGATGCTCTCTCTTTCACGGATGTCCAGGCCGTGGACGGAAGCTCTGTCTCCAAGGGCTCGAGAGATGAAGCTTTTGCACAGAGGGGTAGTCAAGCCGGTGCGTACATACCTAGGCGCATAACAGGGTCACCGCCTTCGGGAATTTGGGTTCCCCTTAAAGGTTCTCAAACGTCGCCGCGGCTGAACGGTTTCACCGACAGGGCAGGCTCAGCCCAAAGCTCCGCGACAGCGCTGCCAGTCCACGTCCCACTCGCTCCGACAGCAGCATCGGTGCACGCAGTGCCGGATTGTTCGTGTAGCAAAAAAGTAGCTACACGTGTAGTAGCTGCTACACGTGTAGTAGCTGCTACACGTGTAGTAGCTGCTACACGTGTAGTAGTTACTACACGTGTAGTGTAGTAGCTGCTACACATGTAGCTAGTGTAGTAGCTACTGCGTGTGTAGTAGCTACATGTGTAGTAGCTACACGCGCAGTAGCTACTGCAGTAGCTGCTACTTCAGCTAGTAGCAACTGCAGTAGCTGCTACTGCAGTAGCTACTGCGCGTGTAGTTACTGCATGTGTAGTAGCTACTGCATGTGTAGCTGCTGCACGTATAGTAGCTACTACATGTGTTGTACTAGCTACGGGCTTCGCACTTTCAAGGGCCCCGCGCTAAATGCTTTCAAGCTATCAATTCCGGTTCAGTGATTCTGCACTTGCTTTATTACTATAGTACTATACCGCCTTCAACTTTTATGAACAACCGGGTGTTTAAGGTTAGCGATTTGTCGTAGTATCTGGCTTATAGCAAGTAAAAAAAATACAAGTAAAAAATTGGTGTTATAATATTGATGTGTTTAAAAAAAAAATTAGGGCCCCTTTATAACATATGCTACAGGCCCCGCCACGAGCTTCATCCGGCACTGGTGCACCGAGTAATTTGCCGCATCCCAAGGGGAGTGCGATTCCCAAGCCGGGGGGCCAAGTGTATGGCACTCCAGAAGGATGGGATTTATGGAGAGCGGTGGTGGGGGGTGAGAGTCGGTGATCGTCTCGAGTTGCTCCGTTGATTGCACGCAGCGCGGAACATAGTGTTCACCGTTCTCACAATGAGCCCTCCATTAATACCGTTGCCTCAGCAATAATGCGATAGAATGAATGTAAGTAGAAAATAAATAGAACTGCATATGCAGAGACCCGGCGGTGCGGTCAGCATGCCCGCAGTGGGAATGTCGCAAGTTAAACTCCTGGTTGGAGGGGGTAAGGAGTGGGGGGGGGGGGGACAACAAACTAAACACAAAGAGCAGTTCTAAAGAAATTAGTTTGTCCGTCTAGACGATTTGAAAGTGCACGGCTCCCAGCGGCTTCCTAATATCGGAATGAAGAGCGCGCGATGCGGTGACCGTCTTGTTTTGATGGTTAGGCCTCTGCTGCTGTTGCGAGGATGACCCGGAGTCCGCGCGGTCGATGGTTTATGCTGCTTTTGACGAGATCAGCAGTTTGACCGCAACGCTTCACGTTGGCCAGTGCGAGTTGGTCAAGGTGGGGGGGGGGGGTCTACGGGCTGTCAAGATATCAGCCGCCACTTCACCCCCCGCAACTCTGCACGAGTAATGAAGTGGTTCTAGAGAAGATTGTACCTGGACAATTTGCTCAAACCCAGCTGGGGTTTGTTTGGCAGCGGAGGTGCTCGCCCTGAATGTGTCGAGCGGCATTATCTTTCATTCGGCTGTGCGGGTGACGCTGTGGGAAGCTGCCTGATCTCTCCGTCAGTTTGAAACGGCATTGTCTTTCATTCGGCTGTGCGGGTGACGCTGTGTGGAAGTTGTCTGATCTCTCCGTCAGTTTGAAGCGGCATTGTCTTTCATTCGGCTGTGCGGGTGACGCTGTGTGGAAGCTGCCTGATCTCTCCGTCAGTTTGAAGCGGCATTGTCTTTCATTCGGCTGTGCGGGTGACGCTGTGTGGAAGCTGCCTGATCTCTCCGTGCCTTCTTTACGCTTGCGAAACGCGGACCCCCTCCCCCCTTTTACAGAAGCACACTGCGCCGACTTGAAACTTTCCGGCTTGCCCGTGATTGATCCATCCCTGGGTTCAACCAGACTGGATTAGCATAAGTGATTTCGGTGAGTCAACCCACGGCACCTGGGTCTGTCCCGTGACCTCATGTCGAATGCAGCGAGCATTCGACACGTTCACGTGGCCTCACGGTGCACCTAGCCTGGCATGAGCGCCGTAGTGACGTACGGAGGCTGTTGTATATGTGTGTGTGTGGGGCGGAGGAGCGGTAGTGTAGCGGTTAACACGCTGCGCTGCGATCCCAGCCACTCAAGGGTTCGATTCCTGGTCACGACCAACATCGGTGATGCAATATTCGAACCGGTCCTGGGCATCCCCTAGGTTGACTCGGCCTGAAACGAGTAACCTCAACATTTTCGGGTTTGTAAACGTCGCCACTCGGCAGACAAAGGCGACCGGGCGTGGTGTGTTATCCAACCCACCCCACCTCGTGTGCTGTGTCGGCCTACATAGGGTGCTCGCTGAAAGCACTTTGCCCCAACAGTCTGCGAAGGCTACACGGGAGGGGGGGGAGGGGTAATCTTTGTCTGCGTGTCATCCCTATACACGTGACAGTACTCGAGAAATGTAACACACTCGTGCGTACCATGAATTTTAAAAGAGGATATAAATTTTCCCGTCTGGCCTCGACTTGTCTGCGTTTGAATCGGAACGACCAGGAATAGTGCGCGGCTGTTTCCAAGAAAATGAACACGTGCGCGCGCGTGTGTGCGTGTCTGGGTGTGCGCGTGTCTGGGTGTACACACTCAATTGTGTGTTTGTGTATGCACGATAATTATTATAATAATTCACAGCACCAAATTCTATATCGTCATTACATCGTGGTCGGGGGGTTGCTGAACGAATGATTAAAAAAAATACTTTAAACACTGGAGTGTGTGCTCACGTGCGAGTGTGTGACCTGCCAGCCGAGCCTTCGACACTTCGCTGGGCCTCGGAGTGCACCTAGCCTGGCACGAGCGCCGTGGCGACGTCACCACCGCTTAGTGGCGAATCACGGCTGTTGTTGGAATGGGGAGCGGTAGTGCAGTGGGTGGCGCATTGCGCTCCCAACCGGGTGACCCGAGTTGAACTCCCGCTCAGGAATATTTGAATCGGTCCTGGGCCTCCCCTGGCTCTATTCAGCCTCAAATGAGTATATGGTGCGGTGCGTGGTCAACATTAACCACGGGGGAGACAAAGGCGGCTGTGCGCGGTGCTGGCCACCCATCCCTGCCTGCCGCCTTCATAATTGCTCGCCGACAGCACTTGCCCCCAAGCGGCCTGGCTCTACCGGGTGAACTTTGTCTCCGTGCGGGGGTCCGTTCCATGGCCCGCCGTCAGCGAGTCCTCCTTCCACAACTTTGCGCGCACCCAGCCTGGCACGAGCGCCGCGGTGACGCCGCAGACACTTGGTGGTGGTGAACAGCGGCTCATTGTTAGTACGGGTTCGGAATGCCGCCCGTAAATGTTTAATGACGCGCGTGCTTGTCCAGCGCCAGATTTCGGAGAGACGGTGCCACTACGCCGAGGCCTGTAGCGATGCTCGAGTTAGAGGCGCATAAAACCGTGGTGGTGGTGGCGGCGTGGAGGGGGGGGGGTCAAAACTTTTTCTTGAACGTTCACGGAACGTTCCGTGAGATGGGACGGGGTCACGAGGAAGGTCACGGAGAGCAGACCCGAAACGCTCTGCCGGGTCGCCCGAATCACGAGCCAGGGAGGAGCGGGCTCACGTGGTGGGGTGAATGCCCCTGCTCCTCGCGAACCCGAGTTCGATTCCCGGCCATGGCCAACATCAGTGGCTTTTTCTTGTATCTGAAGCGGTCCCGGGAATCTCCGAGGTCGACTGTTCCACTTTTCTGATAATGTTCTACGTTTGCGTACAGGTATTACGGTTCAGGAGCTAAATGCCAATGTCGAGGTCTGCCAGCCACAACGAGAGGGCTTCAGGAGAGAGTTGGTGCAGTTTTGATGGTCCTCCGCCATTGAGGAAGCAGCGACTATAGGTGGGTCTACTGTATGGGTCCGTAGTCTGGGTTGCATGGCCAGAATCGCACTCCTGTGGCTTTGTATCCATTAAATTGACAATTACGAAGGAGACGCGGCACATCGGCCTGCTGCTGTTGATGTCCTCATGCGGTTGATGGTTCCACCACCGGTGTCTTCGAAGAGGAGCAGGGGGAGCGTCAAAGCCAGGAAGAGGTGCGACGCTGTTTGGGCCTGGAGTGAGGTGTTTTTTTCCGCGAGAGTGGATTACCTTTTTTGTTGCTGAATCGTCACAGTTTTAAGGGTCTGTGCCATAACCGTGGCACGCGTGTTGCTCCCAATTGTTGCTCGTGGCCAAAGCCTTCATAACGTGCAGCTTCTTCCAATTGACTGCTCGGAGGGAAAGTATAAAAAGGACTTGTACCATGCGCCTGCGGCAGTCAGCGTGGGTGAGGGCCCATTGAGCTCCGCCCTCTCCTCTTTCAATTAATAAAATCCGCGTGAAGTGACAGAAGGGATATGGACAAGAGATGGAGATTCAGTGACTTGACGGAAGAGAGACGTAGACAAGACCGCAAACGCAGTTTTCGCACCGATATCGCGATCCATTCGGCCACGTAGCAACGACCTGGCCGCCAATTCTGTGCCGTTTAGTTCCATCCACCGCCCGACGCGGCCCAACGAGTTAAATTTGTCACGCGGTGAGCCAAGCATTCTAACTCACCGGTGCTCGGCTCACCGGTGATCTTGAGGATGCACTTCTCCGAGCCGCGCGCGGGCGTGTCTCTCGATCGCATTCGTCGCAGGCTCCAGGGGCACCGCGTCTCTGGTGCCCCGTCTCCCCGTCTCGTTAGCGTGCCTCGTTAGGAGGCCGGATTAATTAAACGGGCGCGGGCTCTCCGTGATCGATTATCGGGACGTGGCTACGTATCGCCATCGATCCACCGCCGTCTAATAAATAAAACGCGCTCGATGGGAAAGGGGTGTTTCGGTCGCGCGGCATCGTCAGAAGGTGCCCACAATGCCTTGCAGAAGTTCGCCCTCTGGAACCTAGGAACTCGCGCTGCGACTGGGAAGTGTTTTCCGTTTTGTCGCTGGCTTGTTTTATTGTTTTTCCTCCCGGGTGATGGATGCTCTCGATGGCCAGGGAGTAGGTTAGATCGTTAATTCTGCCGCGTTTGTGTCAACATCCTTAACCGCCGTTTCACTCAAACGCTCGCCAATTGACTCGTTCGGTCACTCACTCGTTCGCGCGTTCAGTCACTTGCTCATCTGTTGACTCACTCGCTCAGTCGCCAAACTCACTTTGCTCGTTTCACTCATTCACCCCTGCACTCCCGTGTTCACTCACTCGCCCATCCACCCACCCGCTCATTTACTCACTCATCTGTTCACCGGCTCACCATTTCACTCATTCACCTACTCACTAACTCACTTTCTCATCTCTTCACTCACTTGCTTACCCACCCTCCTATGTAGCCAACCACTAACTCACCCACTCACTCACTCATCCAATTATCCACTCACTCAGTTACCCACCCTCCCATTCACTGTCTCACCCGACAACCCACTAACTCACGCACCCACCCACTCACTTATCCCTTATCAACTCACTCTCTCCCCATCTTCTCTTCTGTGTGCTAGGGAGGGCGGCTAATCAGCTGCACAGCACGGAGGCAATGAACCAACAAACAGTCGAACGATAGCGAGCGGACGACCAAGTGAAACGGACGCGCTGACAATCTCCACGGGGCGAGCAAACGGGATAACGAGCAAAGCCGACGGAGGGGGCAGTCAAACGGGCGGATGCACGGACGCGCCGGCGAGCGACACGAACGAGCGGACGGAGGAACGCGCGCGCGCGAGAGGAGAGGGCGAACGAACGTTCAGGCGACGCGGGAACAAGCGGGCCACTGATCCGCGTGTCGGTTCGCTCGCTCGCAAACGAACGGGCGGTAGAACGCGAGGCACCGACGAGTCGCTGCAGGCTAATCGTCGGATCTGGTTCGAGCGACGGAACAGTCGGACAACGGGCGAACGGGCGGGCGAACAAGTGACCAAACGGGCCGATCAAACCGGCGGCGACAGTGGAAAGCGGGCGGTCGACCGAACGGAGGGACGGGCCGGCGACAGCGCGGGCGGGCGAAGGAGGAAGGCGAGGGAGGCTGACGCGATGGCACTCCCGGTGATGATGGTGGTGGCATGATCTCCGCCGCGTCAGTCTCCGCCGGCACGTGCAGCCTCTCCACCACTGCGGTGTCTCTCCTCGCGCCCGCAGGCATGATGTGCGAGGTGAGACGTCTCCTCTCTCGCACCTTCGCAAGCCTTCTCCCTCCTCCTCGTCACCCTCCTCCCCCCTCGTCGGTGTCAGGAGACAAAAGTCTGCGGGTGAATTCCCGCTCGGAGATGTGCAGCGTTCAGAGGCGGCGCTCTTCTGCTGCTCACAGCCCCGAGGAAGTGGTGGAAATTCCACGTTCCAATAACAATAATAATGATGATCATTTGGTATTTGCGCCTTTCTTAGAGCCCCGCGGCTATCACTGAGGCGCTGTGTTTCAAAGATGGTATCGTTTACCGGCAGGGAGCCACTTTGCTGCTGCGTGTAAACCCAATTGAGTAAATGGCGGTGCAATTTTTGTCAAAAAAATTCCAAACGTTCACATTTTGTCAAACTTGACTGAATTGCCGCGCGAGTTGCTCGATTTGGGTCGTGCGCGGCAACCGCCGCCGCGCCACCGCGAAAACTTGGCCGGACCCTCCTGAAAAAGAGTCACGAGGCTCGGTGAAGCTTTCCTGCTTCGACGAGCACAATGATGGAACAACAACAAAAACATTGAAATGGTGATAATGGACGGAGCGACGAATGCGCTCGCGTGCGGGAGCTCGACGGATCGTTGCGTCGCGAGACCGTGGCGACGGCTTGGTGAGTTGCGGTGGGGGGGGGAGGCCTTCATCCAGCTGTGGATAGACCGTGGCCGGCGATGGCGACGTGGCGAGCGCGCTCGGCCGCTTTTGCCGGGCGACCGAGGCCTAACGCAGGCTCCGTTCCCGCCGCCAGGTGATGCCCACGATCTCCGAGGACCCCGCGCCCTCCTCACTGACGACGACGACCTCATCGTCGTCGTCGTCGTCCTCCCCTTCGGCCGCGACGACGGCGGCGGGGGCGACGGCGGGAGGGCCGGCGCCGTCCTCGTCAGCGGGGTCGTCGTCGGGGCCCCTCGCCGCGGGGGTCGTGGCCGGGTCGGCGACGGGCCCCCCCGGGGCGCCCGTGCCGGCACCCCGGAGGGGCTCGCAGAACGGCTGGGAGGACGCGAGCCTGGAGCGGCTCATGAGCAGCATGCTGCAGGAGCGCGACCGCCTGCTCGAGACGCTCAGGGGCGCGCAGGTGCGCGCGTGTCGGTGTGTGTGTCGGTGCGTGTGTGTGCGTCAGTGTGTGTGTGTCGGTGCGTGTGCGTCAGTGCTTGTGTCGGTGCGTGTATGTGCGTCGGTGCGTGTGTAGGAGTGGTGGTGGAGCGGTCAGCGCGCTGCGCTACGGACTCGGCAACCCGAGTTCGATTTCCGCTCACGGCCAACACCGGTGACGATTATCTGAACTGGTCCTGGGTCACCCTTAGGTCGACTCAACCTCAAATGAGTACCTGGTGCGCTGTGTAAACATCACCACTAGGGAGACAATGGCGGTCGAGCATGGTGCTGGCTACCCACTCCCTTCATAGGTGCTTGCTAACAGCACTTGCCCCGACAGCCTGTTAAAGGCTATACGGGGGATCTATTTTTTTTTGTGTCAGTCTGTGTGTGTCAGCTGGTGCATCTGCCAGTCATCTCGGTCAACGCATGGCACCAGCTAGGTCTGTCCCGTGACCTCCTGTCAGCGAGCCTTCGACACTTCACGTGGCCTCAAAGTGCAGCTGGCCTGGCACAGGCGCCGTGGTGACGTCACCGACGCTTCGTGGCGAATGGCGGCCGTTGGTTGTTGTAGTGTCAGTGGGGTAGCGGTCGTGCGGCGGTTAGCGCGTGCTGCTACAAACCCGGCGACCCAGTTTAGATTGCCGCTCACGACCAATAACAGTGACGAATACCTGAGTCGGTTCTGGACCTCTCCTAGGTCGACTCAGCGTCAAATGAGTACCTGGTGCGGTGTGTGAACATTGCCACTGGCGTGGTGCTGGCCACCCACCTCACCCGACGTGCCGTGCCGGCTGCTCGCTAACAGCACTTGCCCCAAAAAGTCTGTTAAGGCCATACAGGGGATGTTTGTATTGTGTGCGGAGCGCTGCGGTGACACCCACACGCGTCTGCCTGCGTTCACCTGTCTGTTGTGTCACCTGTCGCGTCTGGCGTTCGGTCTGCCCCGTCTGCCCGTCTGCCTGCCCTCCAACCTGTCCGTCCGGTGTTTGCTCTGCCTTGCTTGCCATTGTCCCAGGAGGGGTTGTCCCAGGCCCAGCTGCGGCTGCAGGAGGTGACGCACCAGCGAGACTCGCTGCACCGCCAGCTCAACGCCGCCCTGCCACAGGTGGCACCCGCGAACCACACCGGGGCCGCCCCCCCCCCCCCCCCCCGCGGCATCCCTCCTGCCCCAGTAATAACCAGGGTGGCCTGCTAGATTCAAACCATAAAATCCTCTGCAACAAAACGTATCTTTGTTTAACTAACAAAGTAAGGCCCATTGAGCTGCGTAGCTCTTTTTCAAGAGTGACCCTGGCTATCGCAAGTGACAGCTCGACGAATTGGCTCATCACGTGGGGCATTTTAGCAGCCAAATCACTCCTCAACGCCACGTTATTGATTCTAAATGTGGACACACGCGGGGTTCTGGCCTTGCCGAATTATCCAATATTCCGAATTGTGTACAATGGTATTCCCCAGTACCTCCTGCCCCAATTACTTTTTTTCTTCCAAATTTGTTTTCCAAACTCTTCACACACCGTACGCATTGACACACACCCTGCATCAATTATTTCCAAAACTCACAGACTAAGGGAGTACCTGGTGCGGTGTGTAAAACATCGCCACTGGGGAGACAAAGGCGGCCGGGCGTGGTGCTGGCCACCCACCCCCTCATGTGCCGTGCCGGCCATCATAGGTGCTCGCTAACAGCACTTTCCCCAACACTCTGTTAAAGGCTATACGGGGGATCTTTGTATGTGTTGTACGCGTGTGTCTGTGTATTGTGTCCGTTTGGCGTGTACGTCTGTGTATGTGGGCGCAGGGTCTGGAGTGGGGGGCCGCATGTGTGTGTCTACGCACGTGTGCAGGCATGTCCGTGTCTGTGTGTCTGTGTGTCTACACACGTGTGCAGGCATGTCCGTGTGTATGTACACCCCCCCCCCCCTGCACCCCCACGCCCGTGCTCATCAGGGGGGCTTGCAATCCCACCGTGGATAATCCTCTGATTTCATTTTGTCCACCACCACCACCACACTCCTCCGCTCTACCAATGGTGGTGGTGGGGGGGGGCTCTGCCGTTATTTTATTTCCTTTTATTTATCTCCCCCGCTGCTTTTACAACCGGCGTTATCTTGTAAGTCTATAATTCACCCCCCCCCCCACCAACCTCCTCCTGACAACCCCCCCCCCAACTCTCCTCCTGTGTGGTCAGCAAAAGCAAGCTGCTGGACTCTCAGCAGCAGCAGCAGCAGCATCGGCTCTGTGTGTTCATATAAGGCTGTGCCCTCTTGCATAATTGTATCTGCTGGAGTTGTCAGGAAGGTTTGAGAGCGATATTAGGTCATCAGCTGTACCTTTTTTTTACACGCACTTTTTTTTACTTTCCGTGTTGCCTGTTTTACAGTCTTTAGAATCTTTTGACGCTTAATATCTTCGGATCTACGAAGCCTAACGAGCTTGACAATTCAAGATTTCGTAAAAAAATAAATAAACCGGTGCAGGTCACGACCATCGTGGTCCTATTTATGTTTTTAACAAAAATTTACTCATTAATAATCGTACATTTTACCACCCCCTATGACGGAAAAAAGTCTGGTCCAATCACAGCGGCTGTTGCTGGCCAGCCCGTGACCAATGAACGGGGCGCTTCTATCGCCGCTCGTCATGCCGCCGGAGCGGCCGCTGTGCTGCGCTCTTCCTTAGCGCGAGAACAACAATTACGCTAAATAATTCGGTGAAAAAAAACTATATTTCCAATGCACACGCTTTCATCTGCACTCAAAAGTAGAAAATTAATTATTTTGACCCCGGAATTAATCAAATGTTGAGGTGCTCAATAATAGTGGGTGGCTTCTTTTCGATCTGTTTAATTGGCTTTATGCGAGCCACCCACTTTTATTGAGCACATCAAATTTGATTAATTCTGTGATATTTTGAAATGTACCTAGTTTCAATGAGAAAACGTGGTGTGCATTCGTGTCATTCCTTCACGTAAAGTCCTGGTCACAAAAGCAAAGTTTTCGGGCATAAGCAATAAAAGAAAATAACACTACCCAGGGACAAAAATCGCGTTGCATAGTGTTATCATAGTTAACTTACCGCCATCATCAAATCATCATCTTCACCACCACAATCATCGTCTTGATTTGATCGTGTGGATGGCAAAATATCCGTTTTCCAACCGATAAGCTTCACGGCCTTTTGGAGAGTGCCAGACTTCAGCAGCGTTAAGATTTCCAGACAAGCAAAACTCTGGCGCGGTTTCGACATGCGGTGTCTCATCAGCGGGGTCAGCGCATGCTGTGTTCACGATGCCATCGATTCATCGACTGAACTCGATCCGTGCGCTCGCGATAACTTGCATGGATTTCATGTCCATGCGAATCGATTATAATAATTAGCATTTATAAATCGCCCTTTAACAGTAGTTCTCAGGGCGGTATCTAAGAATATTGCATTGGAGTGTTGCATTGAGGAAAAACCAGCGGTGACCAGAGCGGTACAAATGAGACTTCTGCACCAGAGAAACGGTCTGAATGAGACGCCAAACATTGGGCGTGTACATTCGACCGCCGATTGGAACCGCGGGCCTCGAATCGCGAACGCTCCATCGAATTGCAGGGCCGGTGAAGCAATCCCTGACACGAACCCTAAATTGTCAAAAAATACGGAGAGGAAAAAAAAATAAAACAAAAACACCAAGAAGTGTACAAGGAAGCAGCGGAGAGAGATGCCCGCTCGGAAATTTCCATCGAGAGACAGAAATGGGGGAACACGCGAGTTTAATGAAAATAATAATAATTTAAATTTATAAAGCGCCCTTAAAAATCGTTCTCGGGGGGTGCTAGAAGACGCACATACGGTCAACGACGAGACATCGTTAAGACCATCAGGGAGAGAAGGAGGTGGGGGGGGGCGGGGCTTGGGCAAGGAGCGTGCCACGGCTATGGGGAAGGAACATTTGCTGGCTGCTCGAGAGGCCGGGAGCAGAGCACCGGCCATGGATCGGAATCACGGCCGAGAGGGCGCCACCACCGCGTAGGAGACGGAGCGGCGACGTGGGCTTGTGCGCGGGAGCTCGGCGGACTCGTGGAACCGCGGGGTTGCGAGAAGCGGCAGCGGTTTGGGGGAGGGGCCTTTCATCCAGCAGTGGATGGATCATGGCTTGGGGGAGGGCCTTCATCCAGCAGTGGATAAATCATACTCTTTGTTTTTTTCGGTAAAGTCACGTAGGTAAAAAAATAAATAAAATTTAACAAATAAAAACTACATTTATTTTATTTCATTAATTTTTTTACCTACGTGACTTTACCGAAAACACCAAAGAGTATGAATCATTGCAGTCACGAAAGCTTAAAATCTGGATAAATCATGCCTGCCGATGGTGGTGACAGTCCTGAGAATTTCTGTTCCCTCTGTGTTTTTTTTGACCGCCCAGGGTGCGAGTGATCTTCTTGTCCCGGACTTTGCGTCGCTCGTTAAATGTGACAAACCGTGCCATCAGATATTACATGTATACAAAGGGAAGAAGAAGAAGAGGGAACAAAAGCGCTCACACACAGCCGTGTTTGTTGCTGAATTGTAATGTTGGTTGAGAACCATGTCCAAGCGTTTAGATGTCTGTTCGTAAAGTAATGTTTCGGGTGGTACACGTGCCTAACCCCCCCCCCGCTCCCCCACCGCCCCAAAAGAAGGTAGTTATTTAAACTTGACTTGAAGCTTCCGTGACTGCAGGAATTACTCTTTGGTTCTTTCGGCCAAGTCACGTAGAAAGAAAATCAATTTAAATAATAGAATACGACGTTTCGATTGCAAGCACAAGCAACCGTCATCAGGTAGAACTAAAAAAACATATCTTATTTGTACGGTTGTGTCTGCTCCGTGACCCAACACGTAAGCTGAACACGTCGGCCGCGGTCAATCCACTGCTGGATGAAGCCCTCCCCGACCCGTCGCGGCCTCCCCGCCGCCCTGCGACGCGACCACCCGCCCGGCCCCTGCGCGCGAGCTCATCGCTCCGCTCCGTCTCCGCTCGCGCACGTCCCTCGCCGCTCCGTGTCCGCCCCTTCGGGCTGCCGCTCCGTCCGCCGTCTCGACCGGCGGCCGTCGCTCCGTCGCAAAATCGCTTCCGCTAATTTGTTGAGGCGCCCGAATGGCCTTCGTCCGCGTGACGTGGACCTCGGCGGTCGTCGTTCGTTTCGCGAATGTCCGCGTCGGTACCCGGCCCCCACAAGCCGCGCCGCCCGCTCTCTCGATCTAAGTGGGCGTTCGCTTGACTGCACTCGCCCAGTATTCTGGGAGCGGCGGCGCAGCGGTTAGCAACCCCGCGCTGCGAACCCCGTCGGTTCCGAGTTCGATTCCTGACCACTGCCCGCATCGGTGGCCAGTGTCTGAATCGATCGCGGGCCTCGAAGGAGCACCTGGTGCGGTGCGTGAACGGCAGCGCTGGGGAGGCAAAGGCGGCCCTGGTGCGTGGCGCTGGCCACCCACCGCCTCTTGCGCCGTGCCACCCTTCATAGGTGTTCGCCGACGGCACTTGCCCCGAACAGCGTGCGTAGGCTACACAGGGGACCTTTGGCTTGGCTGTGTTCGCTCCAACCACAGGAAGACGCGTCCACTGCGACATTGACCGCTGATGAAAAAGATGAATCACGTTTTTCCCCCCCCCTCCCCCAAAACTCATTCGAGTGGCTATTTATTTATTTATCTCTGCCATGCATTAATGAGTCGCGCCCCGTCATTAAAATTGCACCAGGGTCATTAATCTGGCCGTTAAATCTGTCACCGCGCAGGAGCATCCGCGCATCCGCCCGCCCGTTCGTTCGTTCGCTGTCTCACTGGCCCGCTCGCTCGTTCGTCGGCTCATTCGATTGATTCATTCATTTCTCATCCGCCGGTGCAGGCGAACGCGCAGACGCACACGCGGTGCACAGCGCCGGCTGGCTGGCTGGCTAGCAGGCGGCCCCGGCTCAAAATAGCAACGTGACCTCATCGCATCCCCGACGCTAGCCCCGTGGACACGAATCCTGCCCACCGCACGTGCCCACTGCTGCGCACGCAAGGCGCACTTTGTGCCAGCCCCCCCCCGCCCCCCCCCCCTTTGTGGTTAATCCGCTGCTGGACGTGGGGCCTCCCATTGCCCTGCGGGTCCCGTGCGAGTTGCGTCGGCAGTGTCCGTCGTAATTAGTCATGCACCCAGCAAAAAGTCACAGCGGTGAGACTCTCTTCTTTTTTTGTTCCTTCTTACAACAAAAGAGTCCCAAAGACTCTTGGTTTTTGTTGTTGTTGTCAGGAGGTTTCCTGCTGCGTCGGGATGTTTGGGCCAACGGCGGTGACGTTTCGACGGCGTTCTTAGCTCTGGGAGGAAAACCCGAGAAGCCATGCAGAACAAGGGGGGGGGGGGGGTGGGGGGTGGGGGGGGGGGGGTTGGGGGGGACATACAAACTCCACAGAGACAGAGGCCCGAGTCGGGCATCAAACCCCCAGGCCCTTCTTGCGTGCTGGCGCGAGGCCGTCGCCACCCATTCCTTCGGCCGCGCTGGTTCCGCGCCGGTCGGCGAAGGCCGGGAGCAGAGAAGTGGCAGCTTAGAAGCACAGTACAACGGCGCAGCCTGGATCACCTGTCCGTGCATGGCGATCACCCATGCAGGCTCAACACCTGCTCAGCTTAGAAGCACAGTACAACGGCGCGTGTGTGCCTGCACTGACTGCCCTCTGCTGCCGCACCAGCAGCAGCAGCAGCCTGTAACACCTGTTCGTGCATGGCGATCACCCGTCCAGGCAGCTATCCAGGCTCAATACCTGCTTAGCTTTTTGAGATCTGATGAGATCGGAAGCATGCCAGGTGATGTGGCCATAGGCCAAGGGGCACTGAAGTACACAAAGACAAAGATCCCCCGTAGAGCTTTAACAGACTGCATGGGCAAGTGCTGTTAGCAAGCCCGCACGGCACACGAGGGGGGTGGGTGGCCGGCAGCACGCCCGACCGCCTTTGTCTCCCCGGTGGCAACGTTTACGCACACCGCACCCAGGTACTCATTTGAGACTGTTGTGCCTTGGGCGGGATTCGAACTCGGGCTGCCGGGGTTCGTAGCGCAGCGCGCTGACCGCTGCGCGTGCACGTCCTGTAGCACGTGGAGTAAATTGATAACAAAACAACAACAACAACCCACGCGACTTTTATTTGGCGCAAGATTGTCATTTATCCCCCAAGCAAATGCCCTGCGCGGAGGAGGCCACGAGGTTGCTCGTAAACGACGGCGCTTAAGCTGCAGTGAACCCACGGCGTCCAAAAGAGCCTCTAACGAACGGGAAAAAAACAGCCCCATAGCGATCCATCAGCCACTCCACTCTGCTGTCACACGCGGCGGCGGCGGTGGCAGCAGCTGCCGGCTTCGCCTTCCCATCATCCGCTGCCCGAGAGTCGCCCGTCATTCCACCGCTGCCCGTGTCGCGTGTTGCCTGGCTGCGGTTTGGTCCCAAAGACGCGTCCCCTGAACTCACCCACGCACTCAACCACCCACCCATGCTCACCCACTCACTCACCCACTCATCCACTCACCCACTCATTCACCCACGCACTCAACCACCCACTCACGCACTCATCCACTCTCCATATTTTGTTCAACAGCTACACACTGTAAGTCACAACTCACTAACTCAGCCTCTAACATGCTCACCTACTCACCCACCCACTCACCACACTGCAGGTCACAACTCACTAACTCACCCACTAACACACTCACCTACTCACCCACCCACCCATTCACCACACTGCAGGTCACAACTCACCCACTAACACACTCACCTACTCACCCACCCACTCACCACACTGCAGGTCACAACTCACCGACTAACACACTCACCTACTCACTCACCCACGCATCCACTCACCACACTGCAGGTCACAACTCACTAACTCACCCACTAACACACCTACTCACCCACGCACCCACTCACCACACTGCAGGTCACAACTCACTAACTCACCCACTAACACACTCACCCACCCACCCACTCACCACACTGCAGGTCACAACTCACCCACTAACACACTCACCTACTCACCCACCCACCCACTCACCACACTGCAGGTCACAACTCACTAACTCACCCACTAACTCACCCACCCACTCACCACACTACAGGTCACAACTCACCCACTAACACACTCACCTACTCACCCACGCACCCACTCACCACACTGCAGGTCACAACTCACTAACTCACCCACTAACACTCTCACCCACCCACCCACTCACCACACTGCCGGTCACAGCTCACTAACTCACCCACTAACACACTCACCTACTCATCCACCCACCCACTCACCACACTGCAGGTCACAACTCACCCACTAACACACCTACTCACTCACCCACGCACCCACTCACCACACTGCAGGTCACAACTCACTAACTCACCCACTAACACACTCACCTACCCACCCACCCACTCACCACACTGCAGGTCACAACTCACTAACTCACCCACTAACTCACCCACCCACCCACTCTCCACACTGCAGGTCACAACTCACCCACTAACACACCTACTCACTCACCCAGGCACCCACTCACCGCACTGCAGGTCACAACTCACTAACTCACCCACTAACACACTCACTCACCCACACACTCACCACACTGCAGGTCACAGCTCACTAACTCACCCACTAACACACCCACCCACCCACCCACTCACCACACTGCAGGTCACAGCTCACTAACCCACCCACTAACACACTCACCTACTCACCCACCCACCCACTCACCACACTGCAGGTCACCTCGCTTCTCTTTCTGCTTCTTCCCTCGTGCCGCTCCACTTGGGAATTGCCAGTTGAACACGAAGGCTACCGCGACCAATGTCATCCGTAACCGTTCACCTGCACATTAGCGGGCGCGGCGGTGCTATTGTAACACGACGGCGCTTGCCGTCGGTTTCGCTCCCGTGTTTTTGCGTTTCGCAGGAGGTGGCGGCTCTCACCAAGGAGTTGAATTTGTGCCGCGAAACTCTGCTGGAAAAGGACGAGGAGATATCGGAGCTCAAGGCCGAGCGCAACAACACTCGGGTAAGGGCGGCCCTGACGGACCCCCACCCCACCAACCTGTGGCGGGCGCGATATTGGTCAACAACAACAACAGCAGCAGGAACAACAACAACAACAACAACAACGTGGACAACAATCAACACGCGAACGTACTGGCGGTACGCCGGTGGTGCGCGGAGGGAAAAAAAAAAAAAGATTCCCGCGATTCGATAACCCCGGGCGGGAAAATCGTGCGGGGTTGGCGGTGCGTCACAATCAGCTCTCGTGATGGTCCAAGAAAGTCGGTTCAGATTTAGATTCTTCGACTGCGTTAGGCGGACCGGTTTGTTGCGCTGCACCGGTGCCCCCGTCAAACACGCCCACGCCCTCATTCGCACGTCGCGACTTTATCACGAAACGAGAGGATCCGCCCTCGGAAGCACGCTGCACAATTCCACGAAACGTTTCGATGACGATCCGAAAAGAGAAAGCGCTTGAAAAATCGCCTCGAGATGCGGGAACGCATACAGACGTCCTGACGCTCGTGATGAGCCCCCCGTGCGAGGAACGGGGGGGCTCAGGATTCGCATGCCTTGCTTAAACGTCTCAGAATCCCAGAGTGCCTTGCGTTCCCGTCTCACCCCAGGCGTCACAATGCCCGACCGCCTAGCCTAGGGTACACGACCACCACCACCACCACCCCGCCGCTGCGATGGCAGCTGTCCCTGCGTGGCACAAGACGTAACGCGGCTCAGGGCCGCAACTGGCCACTGGGGCGTCAGTTGGGGTGGGGGGGGCTGATGGCGAGGCTGAAATTGTTTTTTTGCCGATCGAGCAAGTCGCGGGCCATTTTTTGTCCAAGTTCAGAGAATTTGGACCGTGACGCCGGCGTGTAAATGTCCGACTGCTCTCTCGAGTGACGCCGTGGGATCTTTGATTTTTTTAGTTTTTAATTATTAGGATTTTATTAAACAACAACAACGACGACAACGACAACGTAGGCCCCGTAACAGCGCTTTAGGTGACAGAAAAGCCGGGGGCGGGGGGCAAAATGGGGGGCCCTCGGAGCCGACGCGAGCGGTCTAAGTAACACGGGGGAATTTAACCGTCGGGGAGCCGATGCGCTTCTATCTGGGTGGAGGTGGGAAGGGGAGGGATGGTGAGGGGAGGAGGGGCATGGGGGCGGTGGGGTGTACATTCAACTTACATGAGAGGTAGCCCCAGTCCCGCAGGGGGAAACAAGAGCCGCTCGCAATCGGGAGCAGCCTGCGACTTCAAATCTTGCTTGTGAGGGGGTGTGATGGGGAGGTGGGGGGGGTGGATCGACTGAGCACATCGTCCCTGCGCGGTCGGTAAAGTCAACGGCGCTTACGGGACGCGGAATTCCCACCGCTGGCTCCGGGGTTGTGAAACGGGGAGGCGATCGCGAATGCCTCAAGGGGTAAAGCACTTTGAGCATTCGCCACGGTGGGCGTGGAAGTCGAACCGGGGACCACCTGCGAACCCTCCACAAAATGTTTAGACCTCTTGTGGGGATCTGGCGGAGGGGAGGAAGCGTTGGCGACGAGGTGGCGGTCGTGGCGGTGGTGGTCGGTAGTGCAGCGGTCAGCGCGCCGCGCTATGAACCTGGCGACCCGGGTTCGATTCCCGCTCGCGGCCAACACCACAGTGACAGCGATTATCTGAACCGGTCCTAGGCCTCCCCTAGGTCGATTCGGCCTCAAATTAATACCTGGTGGAGTGTGTAAAATTAATTGCCACTGGGGAGACAAAGGCGGTCGGGCGTGGTGCTGGCCACACACCCCCTTGTGTGCCGTGCCAGCCTTCATAGGTGTTCGCTAACAGCACTTGCCCCAAAAGTCGTGGTGGTCAGTGACATTGACCGTGGTGACGTCCTCGTACTGGACATCTGTGCAAACGAGCTTTACAGCTCATCGGATTCCTCCCCGTATTAACAAAGATTCAGATTCTCATTCAGAATCCACGCGCGTATTTGATCGCCCCTCTCCTCGTTTCTCTCCCCCCTATCTCATCGCCTCCTCTTCCACCGGCGGCAGCTGCTGCTGGAGCACCTGGAGTGCCTGGTGTCGCGGCACGAGCGCTCGCTGCGCATGACGGTGGTGAAGCGGCAGGCGCAGTCGCCCGCCGGCGTCTCCAGCGAGGTGGAGGTCCTCAAGGCCCTCAAGTCGCTCTTCGAGCACCACAAGGCGTTGGACGAGAAGGTGGAAGCTCTCACGCTCGCTCGCTCTCGATCGGTTCGCTCGCTTCGCCTCCGTGCCGCGCGCCTGTGAACGTGTCCACGTCTTTCCACAGCAACCCAACAAAGAACAACAACAACAGCAACAAATACATTCCCATCCCGGGAATTGAACTCGGGACACCTGGGTGCTCGGCCGCACGGGGGGAGTGAACCCCGCGCGGTGATGGGACGCGTTGCGTTGGCGGTGGCGCTGACACGTGGCGGCACGTTGCGCGTGTCGTTGTGCGCGCCAGGTGCGCGAGCGTCTGCGCGTGGCGCTGGAGAGGGTGGCGGCCCTGGAGGCGGAGCTGACGGCGGCCAATCAGGAGGTGAGGAGGGCGATGGGGTGGACGATCGAGCGATATCGCAAGGAGGCCCGTCGAAAGGACAGCAGCAAGGCTGCTGGAGTGGCTTCTGTGGGGCTGTTTCTCCCGCGACCCACCGCCGGATTGAGAGACCTTCCAACCGGGCTGATGTCATGCCGGCATTTGCTCGTTCGGCCTGTGTGGTTTTTTTTTCTTTCTCGTTTCTTTTTGAAAAAAAAAAATTCCATCACTTTTTTGTAACACGTCTGCTGAGCCCAGCGCCGAGGGCCCCAGAACGTGAAGCGGGCGGCAACAAACGGCATTGTCAAAGTCGTAGTGGATGCGAGTGCAACAGGTTTGTTGAAAATTGAGCAAGGTTTTTTTCATTGTTATTATGAGAGCTTGGGGGGGGAAAGAGACGATGGTGGTGGTGGTGGTGATGGGAGGAGGGAATTCCAGAGTGAAGTAGCGGATATGAGAAGTGCTTGTGACCTACGGTGTGGTGAGCGGGTGGGCGGTTGTGGCCTGCAGTGCTGGTGGCAATTGAGCTGAGCGTGGTGGGCGAGACGAAAACGGCCGGCGTCCGGTGTGTACGTACGTACGTTGAACCTCTCCTCTTGCGCCGCTCGCGGCCGACCGTGCAACAAGGGCGGAGGAATACGTCGAGAAGAAGTTCCCGGGAACGGTAGCCATGGCAGTCGAAGCGATAGACAAGTGACAAGGAGGCGGGCCGATTGCCACGGCCGAGCGAGCGAGCGAGCGAGCGTCAGGGAGTGAATCGGTGAACGCTCGATCATCGACGGACGGTGTCGTAGTGGCAACGACTTTTGAGAGAGTGATTTCACCTGAAGGTCTTTTCTTTCTTTCCCCCACCGTGTGCGGGCATTTTCTCCGCTCGTAGATCTTGCTGTGGCGGGAGCACAGCGGGCGGAGCCTCCCTCGGGTTGGCGGCGGGGATGGAGCGGAGTCGGATGCCAGCGGCCAATCAGACGGCTCGCAGGTGCTTGCTCTCTGTCTCTCTCGTATTTTCCTCCACCTCTATGGTCCCCGGCGTGCCGACTGAGCACTGACGGTGGTGCTCACGCGTGCCGGCCTTGCTACGCCGACGATTCCTCGGCACGCCGCGACAAACCACCCGACTTTGTCGCGCGACTGATCCCGTCCCGCGTCACTCCCGACGACCCGCGCTTCACCGAGCCCCCTCCGTATCCCAACGACCGTTCAACCGGCTCGCCCTAGCGATCCCGGCCGCGTCACGCTGGCGATCCCCAACCACGCCGCGCCGACCGCTGGTCCGTCGGCGCCCCCACCGTTCCGTGTCGCCGCGTCGCCCCGTGCGCGCAGGCGGCGCCGCTGGTGTCGGCCGGCCTGGCGGAGGGGGCGGCCGCCCGCCTGCGGGAGCTGCAGGAGGCCGTGGAGCGCCAGGGGTCGGAGGCGGCGCAGCTTCGCGAGCGCCTGCTGGGGCTGTCGCGCCGCGCCGCCGAGCTGGAGGGCGAGCTGGAGGCGTCGCGCCGGGAGCTGGCACGCGCCGAGGACAGCAACGCCCGGCACCAGCGCGACATCCGCGAGGTGCGCGGCGGCGCAGCGGGGACTCGCTGGCGCCGGCCAACACCGGTTGACGACCAACGGTTGACGGCGGCCGATTGACGACGCCGGTTAATGACCACCGGTTAATGACCACCGGTTGACGACCACCGGTTAATGACCACCGGTTAATGACCACCGGTTGACGACCACCGGTTAATGACCACCGGTTAATGACCACCGGTTGACGACCACCGGTTAATGACCACCGGTTAATGACCACCGGTTGACGGCCACCGATTGACGAAGCCGTTTAATGACCACTCCTTTTTTATTGCTTTAAAACTGATTTTAGTTTTTGGTTTGTTGTCCTTCCCCCGCACCTCCAATTAGCATACATACACTGGTTAGCAACGCCGGTGAACGACGCCAGTGAACGCCACGCGTTGATTTCACGCAGGTGAGAGATGGCCTCTGCGGACGCCGGCCAACGCCGATGGACGGCGCTTTCCGCGTCCAAATGGAAGGCCGTGAACGCGGTGGCAACGCTGCCGCGCGCGAGCGTATCCGCGAGCAGTAGCACGGAGAAGGCTTTCGCGACCAATATCGCCCATAATAGAGGTTGGGTTAGATCGCGTTAACAATATAAATGTTGTGTCGTTAAACCCGCCAACACCCGACACAGCCAACTAGCAAGGTTTGTCACGTAAACAGAACGTGGCCAATTCGTCACTTGTACAGCACACCGGTGTGTGTTCGAGAGCAAATCCACAACATTTACAATCGTAAACGTTGTGTATTTGCTCTCCATTTACGATTGTAAACGTTGTGGATTTGCTCTCGCGTTGAACGACACGATGAGATTTACGCGATCTAACTAAAAAGAAACCTCTATCAAGGATAGTTGGAACGAATTTCGAAGGAGCAGCGGTGCAGCGCGGTGCTCCGCGTCTACGTTTCAAGGCCACGGCGTCGTTGACGAGCTCGTCCGGCGGCTTTGTTTCCCCGTGGCCGCGCACCGCTGCCTGACGCAGCGTCGCCAGAGCGCTCGTCCGCGCGCGTATGTATGCTTGCACGCTTACGTGTGTGTGTGTGCGCTTGTGTGCGTGTACGTGCGTGCGTGTGCGTGCGCGCGTTTTTGTGCCCGCGTGTGTTTGTGCGCGCGCCCGTGTGTGCGTCTATGCGTGTGTGCGTCTGTGCGTGTGTGCGTCTGTGTGTGTGTGCGCCTGCCCCGTTAGGTGATGGCACAGAAGGAGGACATGGAGGAGAGAATCACGACCCTGGAGAAGCGCTACCTGGCCGCTCAGCGCGAGGCCACGTCGCTGCACGACCTCAACGACAAGCTGGAGACGGAGCTCGCCAACAAGGAGGCCCTGCACAGACAGGTGGGGCCTCGCACGCGACCGTCACCGTGACGTCGCGAGTGAGATCACCGTCGAGATCACTTGTTGCATCGCTGGGTGAGATTGTGAGTGACGTCACGAGTGACGTCTCACTGGTGATCTCGCTAGTGTGTGACCCCCCACTAGTTGTTGGGGGTCATGGTGAACGCGAGCGCGGGGTCGTTGGGGGTGACAGTGAACGCGAGCGCGGGGTCATTGGGGGTCACGGTGAACGCGAGAGCGGGGTCGTTGGGGTCACGGTGAACGTGAGAGCGGGGTCATTGGGGGTGACAGTGAACGCTAGCGCTGGGTCGTTGGGGGTCACGGTGAACGTGAGAGCGGGGTCATTGGGAGTCACGGTGAACGTGAGAGCGGGGTCGTTGGGGGTGACAGTGAACGCTAGCGCGGGGTCGTTGGGGGTGACAGTGAACGCGAGAGCGGGGTCGTTGGGGGTCACGGTGAACGTGAGAGCGGGGTCATTGGGGGTGACAGTGAACACTAGCGCGGGGTCGTTGGGGGTCACGATTTGCGTCGCCCTCTCCCTCCCCCCTCCCATGCAGAGCGAGGAGCGCGGGCGGCAGCTGCAGGAGCGGCTGGAGACGGCGGAGCAGAGGCTGCAACAGACGCTGCGCAAGGCCGAGACGCTCCCTGAAGTCGAGGCGGAGTTGGCTCAGCGCGTCGCGGCCCTCACCAAGGTCCGCTCGCCACGCGCACGCACGCAGCCAAAGGGCCTCCGTGTAGCCCGCGCGGCCCGCCGAGGGCTGGTCGGCACGGCACACGCGGGGGGGGGGGGAGGGGGGTGGCGGGCGCCCGGCCGCCTTCGTCTCCCCGGTGGCGACGTCTACGAATTTGAGGCTGAGCCGACCTAGGGGAGGCCCAGGAGCGGTTCAGATATCCGTCACCGGTGTGGACGTTGGCCGTGAGCGGGAATATAGGATTCTGGTGGACGGGTCTCGCACGCGCACCAACAGTAAGACACAATTGTCGCAGCGCGCCACTAAAGGTTGCTTTTAATCCCGATTTAATTTGCCCAAATGTCTCGGCTCGCGGGAGGACTTCGTAGACAGCGCCGATAAAACGATCGGAGGAGAAGGAGGAGGAAATCGCGATCACAGGAGGAACGACATCTCGTCGCGCCAGACGCTGCCCACACGTCCCGCAGCATTGCTCCTTCACCGTAACGACCGAGGACGTTCGGTCTCGGCGCTGTCGTTCTTGTAGCACGAGGCTCTCACGAATGGGGGGCGGGGTGGGGGGGGGGGGGCGCTGCCCCGTCTTTCGCAGACGCAGCCAGCGGTAGTTTTTGTTGCATAATAAAGGTTCGCGGGTTAGATCGCGCAAGCGTAAATGTTGTGTCGTAACCCTCCGCCACCCGGCACAGCCAGTAAGGTTTGTCACGTAAACAACGCGCCAACCAGCCCACCGGTGTGTTGCAGAGTAAAGCCACAACATTCACAATTATTATGAATAATATTGGTCGCGAAAGCCTAAGTTTAATTGCAGTTGGGGACGGGCGGGTGCAGGGCGGGGGGGGGGTGGCGCTGTTACCGCCGTGCGTGAGCCCAAAGTGAGTAAATTGGCAGTCTAATATTTTTGGCCAAATTTTCAACTGCGGAACGTCGGCTGCGCACGATGGCCTCTGCTCCTGCGAATGGCTCGCCGCCGAACAAAGACGGCAGTCACCGCATCGTCGCTCGCTTTCCCGACGCGCTGCTGCGCCCGTCTGGTAACCTCGATTGACACGCTAATTTCTTCAGAACTGCTTTATTTATATTCAGTTTGTTGGCCTTCCCCACCCCGCCACCGCCACCACCGCCCCGAACCCTGACCCTGTCGCTCTTTCCGCCGCCGCCGCCGCTGCCGTCGCAGGCGGAGGAGAGACACGGGAACATCGAGGAGAGGATGCGGCAGCTGGAGGGGCAGCTGGAGGAGAAGAACCAGGAGCTCCAGCGGGTGCGTCGCTCCCGACGTGCACCGCGAGTCGCAGACGAGCGGGGCCCACGCGGCGGTCGAGCTCCGAATCCCCTTCGCTCCCTCGGATCGCCCCGCCCCTCCCTGCCCCGCCCCTCCCCACCCCGCCCCTCCCCACCCCGCCCCTCCCCACCCCACCCCGCCCCTCCCCACCCCACCCTGCCCCTCCCCACCCCACCCCGCCCCTCCCCACCCCTCCCCTCCCTACCCCGCCCCCCGCTCTCGCGTCGCCAAACTCGTGGGGCGCCCTTTTAGCCCTTCCGCCGAAGGGACGTCTCTCTCGCCTGTGGTGTTGCTGCTCACCGTGTCCCCTGCGTTCGCTTCCTGATCAGACTCCGCGTTGAGCGTAACATTCCCTCCTGCTTGTGTTTTAATGGGGCCTCAAACCCTTTCCCGCTCCGATGATGTACATGATTGCCGCTCGTTAAGAGGTTGCCGCTCGTTGAGAGGTTGCCGCTGGTTAAGAGGTTGCCGCTGGTTAAGAGGTTGCCGCTGGTTAAGAGGTTGCCGCTGGTTAAGAGGTTGCCGCTCGTTGAGAGTTTGCCGCTCATTGAGAGGTTACCGCTCGCTCGCTAAGCGGAACGGCCGCGTGCGCAGGCTCGCCAGCGGGAGAAGATGAACGAGGAGCACAACAAGCGCCTGTCGGACACCGTGGACAAGCTCCTGTCCGAGTCGAACGAGCGCCTGCAGCTGCACCTCAAGGAGAGGATGACGGCCCTGGAGGAGAAGGTGCGGACGTCGCTGGCCTGCGGTGTGCTTTACTGTCGTCGTCCTTGTTGTCGTCCTTGTTGTGGTTGTCGTCGTCCTTGTTGTCCTTGTTGTCGTCGTCATCGTCGTCGTCCTTGTTGTCGTCGTCGTCCTTGTTGTCGTCGTTGTCGTCCTTGTTGTCGTAGTTGTTGTTGTTGTCGTTGTCGTCGTTGTTGTTGTCGTTGTTGTCGTTGTTGTTGTCGTTGTCGTCGTTGTCGTCCTTGTTGTCGTTGTTGTCATCGTTGTTGTCGTTGTTGTTGTTGTCGTCCTTGTTGTCGTCGTTGTCGTCGTTGTTGTCGTTGTTGTCGTTGTCGTCCTTGTCGTCGTTGTCGTCGTTGTTGTCGTTGTTGTCGTTGTCGTCGTTGTTGTCGTTGTTGTCGTTGTCGTCCTTGTTGTTGTCGTTGTCGTCGTTGTTGTCGTTGTTGTCGTTGTCGTCGTCGTTGTTGTCGTCGTTGTCGTCGTCGTCGTTGTCGTCGTCGTCGTTGCGCTTGTTTACCCTGGGAATGCTCACCGAGTCTCAAGGGTCTCCGCCTCTTTCTGCACAGAATGCGCTGACGCAGGAGCTGGACAATGTGCGAAAACACCTCGAGGAGATGCAGCAGGACAAGGCAGGAGGAGATGAATGATCCCGCGTGCTTCTCAATGATGTCGCGTGCTTCTGAATGATGTCGCGTGCTTCTGAATGATGTCGCGTGCTTCGGAATGATGTCGTGTGCTTCTCAATGATGTCACGTGCTTCTGAATGATGTCACGTGCTTCTGAATGAAGTCGCATGCTTCTGAATGATGTCACATGCTTCTGATTGATTCCATGTGCTTCTGAATGATGTCACGTGCTTCTGAATGATTCCATGTGCTTCTGAACAATGTCACGTGCTTCTGAATGATGTCACGTGCTTATGAATTATGTCACGTGCTTGTGAATGATGTCACGTACTTCTGAATGATTCCATGTGCTTCTGAACAATGTCACGTGCTTCTGAACAATGTCACGTGCTTCTGAATGATGTCACGTGCTTCTGAATGATCCCACGTGCTTCTGAATGATGTCACGTGCTTCTGAATGATCCCACGTGCATCTGAATGATGTTGCATGCTTCTGAATGTCACGTGCTTCTGAATTATTTCACGTGCTTCCGGTTGCTCCCACTTGCCTGTCATTGATTCAGCATGCTTCTGAATGATTCAACATTCCTCGAGTTTATTTCACTTATCAGTGCCTCCACATGCTTCTGAATGCTTTCACTTGCCTATGAATGCTTTCACGTGCTTCTGAATGCATCCCCATGCTTCGGAATGCTTCTTCCTAGTTCTCCCACGTGCTTCTGAATGATTCCACTTGCTTCAGATGTCTTCCACGTGCTGTTGATTGATTCCACCTCTCAATGCTTTTGTGTCTGTGTGTGTAGGAGCGTCTGATGGAGGAGATGGAAATTCTGCGCTCGGAGGTGGAGCAGTGGCGGCACAAACCTTCGGGGTTCACGGAGACCTTGATGCCCAGGTGCTCGCTACCGCTTGTGTGTGTCGTGGCCTCGCGTGCCCAGCCACCAGGTGCCCAACCACCCCATACCCAGCCATCTTGTGCCCAGCCACCACGTGCCCAGCCACCCCATACCCAGCCATCCTGTACCCAGCCACTCCGTACCCAGCCACCCCGTATCCAGCCACCCCGTACCCAGCCACCCCGTACCCAGCCACCCGTGTCCAGCCACTCCGTACCCAGCCACCTCGTACCCAGCCACTACGTACCCAGCCACTACGTACCCAGCCACCACGTGCCCAACCACTACATACCCAGCCACCCTGTACCCAGCCACCCCATGTCCAGCCACCACGTGTCCAGCCACTACGTACCCAGCCACCCCGTGTCCAGCCACCATGTGTCCAGCCACCCCTTACCGAGCCACTACGTACCCAGCCACCACGTGCCCAGCCACCCCTTACCGAGCCACCGCATGCCCAACCAGCTTCTGTTTGTCCAGATAGAGGGAGCTAAAAGGGCGCGGCACGAGCTAGGGAAGAGGTGGAAGAGGATTTGGAGCTGAGTGGAGTTGCCGATGGCTGGTACAGGCAGTATCAAGATCGGCCTCTGTTGAGGAGGAGGTTCGTGAAGGACGCTGCTGGGCAGTTGAAGGCAGTCGCCTAGGAGTGACGCTCACAGCAACAAGTGGAGCACAGTAGGGAGCACGGGTGGTGCATCTGTCAGTTATCCTAATCAACTCATGGCATCTGGGTCTGTCCTGTGATGTCTGGCCAGCGGCCTTCGATACTTCACTACCTCAGCGTGCACCTATCCTGCACAAGTGCTGGTGTGATGTCACCACCGCTTAGTAGTGAATGGTGGATGTTGTTGTTGACTGGATATGCATGTTCGTGTGTGTGTGTGCGTTTATGCGTGGGGATTGATGACCGAATGGTTAACGCACTGCCCTATGAACACGGCGACCCGAGTTCGCTTACGGCCAAGGGCCAACACCAGTGACGATATCTGAACTGGTCCTGGGCCTCATCACGGTCGACTCAGCCATAAATGAGCAGCTGGTACATCAGCACTGGGGAGACAAAGGCGGCCGGGCGCGATGCTGGTCACGCCACCCCATCGTGCGCCGCGCCGGCCTTCACGGGCGTTCGCCAACAGCACTTGTCCCGATGGCCTGTGAGGCCTACACGGGGGATCTTTGTCTTTGTTGGGTGTGCCAGGTCCCACCGGAGCAACGCGGTGGACGCGTCTCGCTTCTCGCGCGGGTCGCTCACCCTCGACCCCGTCGATCATTACTCGACGCTGCGCCGTGCCAAGAAGGGACGACTCCCACCCCTCCGGGACGATCCCAGCAAGGTCGCTACTCGTCCGCTCGCCGGCTCGCTCACTCGGTCACGAACTTGCCCACTCATCTACTTTTGCGCGTGCTCATCTGCCCACTCACTCACAAGCTCACCTGTGGACTTACTCCCCGAATCAGGCACTCACTGACTCGTTCACTCAATCGCTTTCTAGCTCGCCTGCCCACTCACTCACTCAGTCGCCCACCCAAGCCCGTTTACCCACTCACTAAATCCCTCGCTCGCTCACGCACTGGAACAACCGCTTACTTCCCACATTCCAGAGAAGGAAATACTCACAATGACATTGGCCGAGGATCCCAATCGGGAGGACCTTCCCAACACCCCACATCCCGGTCCTCACTCGGTGCTTCCCCTCCACGGTTCCCCCTCCCTCCCCCCTTCCCACCAGGTGCTCACCGAGCAGGGCTGGGACCTGGGCGGTGGAATCGGCGGGATGGGAGGAGGAGGAGGCGGTGGAACGATGGGAGGAGGTGGAGGAGGAACGCCATCGCTCCTGGGCGGCTCCACTCGCTCGCTGGACCCCGACGGGAGCCTCAGCGATCAGGACAACGGAGAGGCGGGGCGGGATGGCCGACCCCGCGACCTCTGCCCCTCCGACTCGCTGCTGCTGTCTCCCGGCGCAGGTGGCGGCGGCGGCGCGGGGGCCGGAGGCTCGGACGCCCAGACGCTGGCGCTGATGCTGCAGGAGCAGCTTGACGCCATCAACCACGAGATCAGGCGAGTCGCAGGCTGCCGCCGCCGCCGGGCCGCGCCGGGCCACGGCGGAGGCCGGCGCCGGGCCACGGCGGAGGCCGGCGCCATCGGCCGCCGTGGCCTCCGGCTCACGAGCGAGGGAGGCGCTGTCGCGGTCTTATAAGAGCGTCTTTTTGAGTTGAACACATCGGGGAGGAGGCTTTCGCGACCTCTGTTATTCACAAGAGAGGTCTGCCCCTAAACCCGAACACCACTCACCACCTCGTCGTCGTCGTCGTCTCGGCGCCCCCCACCCCCCCACCCACCCCTTCCCCGCCCCCCACCGCAGGCTCATCCAGGAGGAGAAGGAGTCGACGGAGCTGCGCACGGAGGAGCTGGAGTCTCGCGTGAGCTCGGCGAGCCTGGAGTCGCTGGCGTTCTCGCGCCTGCGCTCCGCCTCCTCCATCCCCGGCTCGCTGGGCGGCGGCGGCGGCGGCGGCGGCGGCACCACCGCCACCGCCTCCTCCTCCTCGTCGCTGCCCCCCAGCCCCTCGCCCCCCGTGAGCGGCCGCTCCACGCCCAAGGCGGCGCCGCCGCGGCGCCCCGCAAGAGACCTCGACCGCATGGGGGGGGTCATGACGTTGGTGAGCTGGCGCCGGGGGGCGGGGGGGGGCGGGGCGGGTGGGGCAGTGGGGAGGCTGAGGTGGAGGTGAGAGAGAGGGCTGCAGGTGAGGTGAGGTGGTGAATGGTGTTCGGGTTTAGGGGTACAGATAGAATGAAGGGTAGAGGTGGGGTTAGGGTTGAGGTTAGAGTTTGGTTAGCGTTGGGGTGAGGGACAGTATTGGGGTTAGGGTTGGGGTTAGGGACAGTATTGGGGTTAGGGACAGTATTGGGGTTAGGGTTGGGGTTAGGGACAGTTTTGGGGTTAGGGTTGGTGATAGGGACAGTATTGGGGTTAGGGTTGGGGTTAGGGACAGTATTGGGGTTAGGATTGGTGATAGGGACAGTATTGGGGTTAGGTTTGGTGATAGGGACAGTATTAGGGTTAGGGTTGGTGATAGGGACAGTATTGGGGTTAGGGTTGGGGTTAGGGACAGTTTTGGGGTTAGGGTTGGTGATAGGGACAGTATTGGGGTTAGGGTTGGTGTTAGGGACAGTATTGGGGTTAGGGTTGGTGATAGGGACAGTATTTGGGTTAGGGTTGGTGATAGGGACAGTATTGGGGTTAGGGTTGGTGATAGGGACAGTATTGGGGTTAGGGTTGGGGTTAGGGACAGTATTGGGGTTAGCGTTGGAGTTAGGGACAGTATTGGGGTTAGCGTTGGAGTTAGGGACAGTATTGGGGTTAGGGTTGGTGTTAGGGACAGTATTGGGGTTAGGGTTGGTGATAGGGACAGTATTGGGGTTAGGGTTGGGGTTAGGGACAGTATTGGGGTTAGGGTTGGGGTTAGGGACAGTATTGGGGTTAGCGTTGGAGTTAGGGACAGTATTGGGGTTAGGGTTGGGGTTAGGGACAGTATTGGGGTTAGGGTTGGGGTTAGGGACAGTATTGGGGTTAGGGTTGGGGTTAGGGACAGTATTGGGGTTAGGGTTGGGGTTAGGGACAGTATTGGGGTTAGCGTTGGAGTTAGGGACAGTATTGGGGTTAGGGTTGGGGTTAGGGACAGTATTGGGGTTAGGGTTGGGGTTAAGGACAGTATTGGGGTTAGGGTTGGGGTTAGGGACAGTATTGGGGTTAGGGTTGGGGTTAGGGACAGTATTGGGGTTAGCGTTGGAGTTAGGGACAGTATTGGGGTTAGGGTTGGGGTTAGGAACAGTATTGGGGTTAGGGTTGGGGTTAGGGACAGTACTGGGCTTGTACCCTGAGCCTGCCGTTCGGGTTTGTTGATTCGGCCTCCGGTACCAAACCCATCGAGTGACCGGTGTCTCCGTGTCTCCGTGTCTCCGTGTCTCCGTGTCTCCGCAGCCGAGCGACCTGAGGAAATACCGCCGGAGGGTGCGTAGCAGTGCCCCGGCTCTCACAGCCAGCGCGGCGCTCTTGCCGCGCCGTGACACGCGTCGCGCGTCCTGCACACTCCGGCGCGTGTCGGTCGCCCGTCGATCCCGGACGTTCCTTGAGCGGGCCACCGGTCGTGTCCCGCCGCGCTCCGCCCGCGGCTCCGTTGGAGGCCTCCCAGAGGCGTCGCCCTCGTTCGCGATCCGTCGCGCGTCCTGCGCACGGGCCGATCTCGTCGCTCCATCTCTGCCCTTGGCGTCCACTCTCGCGCGCGGGCCCCCGTTTGGCTGCCACTCCATCGTTGGTCTCGACCACCGTCCGTCATCGACCCTCCTAGCGACGTGTCCTGCCTTCAGCCCGCTTACTTTCATGGGCAGTCGCTGTGATGTCTTCAACTTTGCATTTCTTCTGCGCACTTCCCAGTGCTTGTTTCGCGCACTTTTTTCCGTTGTTGTTTAATTCTCTTCGAGCAACGTACGAACGTGCGAACAGGCAAGGATGTATATCAAAATGCGAATACGCGCTTGTACGCCGAGGCCGCGTTTGCCGCGCGTTCGCAGCTCGCTCGCCGGCCGCGCGCCTCCCCACCGTTCCTCACGGCTGTCCTTGCCCGCGCGCGTATCGGGTTCGCGCAGACGATGGGCGGCGAGGAGGAGCGGGAGGACAAGGCGACCATTAAGTGCGAGACGTCCCCGCCGCCGTCGCCGCGCGGGAAGTTCCACAAGCTGGCGCACGGCATCAAGGCGGTGAGCACGGAGGACATGCGCAGGTACGAGGGCCCGTCAGGGCGAACGGACGGAAAGGCACGAACCGCAGCGACGCTTAAGACGCCACGAGTCCCAGCCGCCCCGCCGGGAGGTCGAGCCACACGTCGGGGTCCCGGCGGTGGCCTCCGCGGCCGTCATCGCTCCCCTGCTGGCAGGCTGGTGCACGCTCTTAGGGCCAGGCGCCAAGTTACCTGGCGCCGCACGGGGACAGCTCCCGCTGGGGATGCCCCCGTCCAAATGTGTTTTCGGGCGAGAGGTGGCGCGAGTTTGCCTATCGCCAACCTCTCCCTTCCCCCGGTGTATTTATCGAAGATCGTTCCCTTTACTAATATACAGCAGAACCCCTCTTAACGACCACCCCTTAGAACGACGAATCACTTAACGACGGGCCTCCATCGAGGCCAAGGTGTAGTGTATAGTAGTGCAGTGTATAGTAGTGTAGTGTATAGTGTAGTGTATAGTAGTGTAGTGTATAATGTAGTGTATAGTGTAGTGTATAGTAGTGTAGGGTATAGTAGTGTAGTGTATAGTGTAGTGTATAGTGTAGTCTATAGTAGTGTAGTCTATAGTAGTGTAGTGTATAGTAGTGTAGTGTATAGTGTAGTGTATAGTAGTGTAGTGTATAGTAGTGTAGTGTATAGTGTAGTGTATAGTAGTGTAGGGTATAGTAGTGTAGTGTATGGTGTAGTGTATAGTGTAGTGTATAGTAGTGTAGTGCCTCCATCGAGCCCAAGGTGTAGTGTATAGTGTAGTGTATAGTAGTGTAGTGCCTCCATCGAGCCCTAAGTGTAGTGTATAGTGTAGTGTATAGTAGTGTAGTGTATAGTAGTGCAGTGTATAGTGTAGTGTATAGTAGTGTAGTGTATAGTGTAATGTATAGTAGTGCAGTGTATAGTATAGTGTATAGTAGTATAGTGTAGTGTATAGTGTAGTGTATAGTGTAGTGTATAGTAGTGCAGTGTATAGTGTAGTGTATAGTGTAGTGTATAGTAGTGCAGTGTATAGTGTAGTGTATAGTGTAGTGTATAGTGTAGTGTATAGTAGTGCAGTGTATAGTGTAGTATATAGTAGTGTATAGTGTAGTGTATAGTAGTGTATAGTGTAGTGTATAGTAGTGTATAGTGTAGTATATAGTAGTGTATAGTGTAGTGTATAGTGTAGTATATAGTAGTGTATAGTGTAGTATATAGTAGTGTATAGTGTAGTGTATAGCAGTGTATAGTGTAGTATATAGTAGTGTATAGTGTAGTGTATAGTAGTGCAGTATAGAGTAGAACCTCTCTTCGTGACCACCCATGTTAACGACTAAACGCTTAGCAATCAGCCTCCGTACCAATGTGTTTGCTTACCGACCATTCCGCTGTTAACGACGGGCAGTAAATGTTAATTAATGCATTTATTAACCGTGTTTTATTTTAATATTGTCTTTATAATGTTGTTAGCATCTTTTTCTATGAATATCCTTCGTTTATATATTTTAAAGTAAGTTTTTTGGGTGGAAAAAGTGGTAACTTTCGATGCCATCGGAATGAATTAAGTCTTTAACGTGTATTTCCTATGCTCGCTTAACAAGCAAATCACTTAACGACCGGTTTCATGGAACCAATGAATTACCGTCGTTAGGAGGTTGTTCTATTTTACACAAAACACTGCGCTGTGGTTGTCTCCCTTCTCCCTGCTACACGTGACCCCGCCCCCACCCCCGACCCCCCCGACCCCACCCCTGACCCCCCCGACCCCACCCCCGACCCCCCCGACCCCACCCCCCCCTCCACCCCTGACCTCCCGACCTAACCCCCGCCCTCCCACCTCACCCCTGACCCCCCGACCACACCACCGCCCCTCCACCCCTGACCCCACCCCCACCCCTGACCCCACCCCCGCCCCCCCCACCCCTGACCCCACCCCTGACCCCCCACCCCTGACCTCCCGACCCCACCCCTGCCCTCCCACCCCACCCCCGACCCCGCCCCCCCACCCCTGACGCCCCCCTCCCCCCACCCCTGACCCCACCCCCTGACCCCAACCCCCCTCCCCCGCAGCGCTTGCATGGAGGGGGGTGCGGGCAGCTCGGACACTCTACGCAAGGCGCAGAAGAAGCGGGGCCTCAAGTTCGGGCTCCTGTTCCGCAGGAAGAGTCGCATCGGCCAAACGGGCAAGGAGGCCGGCCTCTCGTCGCAAGGTGGGAGCGGCTCGCGTCCTCGCCGATAAATCATCGTCGTCGTCATCAACAGCAGCGACAGCGTTTCTCTCTTCATCATCATCATCAGCAACAGCATCTGTCTTCAGTGTCATCATCGTCAGCATCATCATCAGCAACAGCGTCTGTCTTCAGTGTCATCATCGTCAGCATCATCATCAACAACAGCGTCTCTGCCTTCAGTGTCATCATCATCAGCAACAGTGTCTCTGTCTTCAGTGTCATCATCGTCAGCATCATCATCAGCAACAGCGTCTGTCTTCAGTGTCATCATCGTCAGCATCATCATCAACAACAGCGTCTCTGTCTTCAGTGTCATCATCATCAGCAACAGTGTCTCTGTCTTCAGTGTCATCATCGTAGGCATCATCATCATCATCAGCAACAGCGCCTCTGTCTTCAGCATCACCATCAGCAAGTGTCTCCGTCTTTAGTGTCATCATCATCAGCGTCATCATCATCATCAGCAGCGCCTCAGCATCATCAGCATCAGCAACAGCGCCTCTGTCTTCAGCATCATCATCATCAGCAACAGCGCCTCAGCATCATAATCATCATCATTGCCTTTCCCATCGGCATTAGCAACAGCGTCTTGGGTCTTCAGCGTCATCAGCAGCAGCATCATCATCATCATCAGTGACTCAATGGAGATCACACAGAGCAGTAATCATTGTCGCCTCCTACTGGCAGACCGATGCCCCAGGTCACTCTGTCGTGGTCTCCCGAGTTCTCACCCCCTGCTTCGACGAAATAAACTCAAAACGTGATCGGCGCTGGGCCCGGCGGTCTGTGCGGCGCTATATGGCGCTGTTTGTTGCTGGCCGCCTGGTGCATTGGGCCCTTGGGCTTGTGCCCAGCAACTGCGTCATTGTTTTTAGAATAAATACAGTCGGCCATCGATTTTATTACAGATCATCGATTATCCGACCGCTTTGGAGGGGGTGGGGGAGGTGCGGATAACCACTAATCATTATTTAAAATAGATAATTTTTGCACATTTTTCAATGACGTTACGTTTTTAGGTGTTGTTATATGTTTAAAAAAAGTTTACTCTTTGAAATTCACGTAACTAAACGTACGAATAGACGAAAATAAATAACCTACTTAAAAACGTTACGGTATTTTACTGTACCCTACTTAACACTCCAATCTCGAAGACTCTGCACGGGGTGATGTATCTACGTGCAGTATTTTCATTGTTGCAGCTGTACGCAGTTGTATAATGTACTGTATATAATATTAAACACTGAAATCAAGCGAAGCGACGACTTCTTCAGTCACGCTACACGGTGTGCAGCTTTTGGAGCGGTTTTGCCGGAACGGCCCAGGACCTGACCCTATAATGTTGGCAGCAGCCGGATAATCGACGATTGACTGTAGTAATAATAATAATAACAACAACGATACGGGCGATCTTTCCTTCATGTCTTCATCCTCACCATCTGGACGCGACCAGGAAGTTCATCGGACTCCGAGGTCACCACCCCGGACGTCATGGGGCTGGGGCGGATGGGGGCACAGGCGGAGAGAGACCGAAGACTCCGCAAAAAGTGAGTGGCCGGCAGCTCGCTCGCTCGCTAGCGTCAACATTGGCCCAACGTTGGGCTAACGTTGTCGGCACGCGGTCGGGCACCGTTGGGGGGGGGCCCAACATTGGCCCCCCCCCCAACGTTTTGCTCAACGTTCCGTGTCTGCTGAGAAGATGGTTACAAACCCCTTTTTTCGCTCGCTGCTGGATCGGGGGTTGCACGGCTTGGCGACGGTTCTTCGCGTGCACTGGCACCACGCTTGGCCACTACGGGTGTGTGAATGTTGGGAGCGTAGACGCGGGAGCATAGAAAGTACAGCGCAACGACGGGGATTCTGCTACGGTGATGCCTCTGCTGGCCACAAGGCAGCCCCGCGCGGCAGCCCATAACATCCCGGCTGACGTGGGGCTCGCCCATCCAAGCGCTATCCAGGCTCAACCCCTGCTTGTCTTCTGAGATCTTTAGCCAGGTGGTGGCCGTGCACGGCTGTGATCCGGCACTGTGGAGGCAGCGAAGGTCGGTGGATCACTGCACAAACGATGCGAAACTCCCTTCCCGCGGGCGTCGAGGGGGAGCCGCGTACCCTGGCTCGCCGGCAGAAGGCGGTGCGGCAAAACTGTCGACGCCACCTGTCCCGTCTGTGCGGGATAGAGTGTTTCCCCCTCGCGCGTGTGACGCTGTGGTCTCTCTGCTTTCAGGCACGAGCTTCTGGAGGAGGCTCGCAGGCACGGCCTGCCCTTTGCCCTCTGGGACGGCCCAACTGTCGTGGCCTGGCTTGAGGTGGGTCACTAACGACACCGATGTTGAAAATAATCTCTGCTTTGAGTTTCCTGGCTGGCTGCTGGCCGGGATCCTTTCCACCCCCTACAATAATTTTATTGTGCGGGGTGTCATTGAAGCCAGCTGGGTAAGTGGCTAAACGGGATCTTTCATGCAACAAATGAGACATTGATTTGAATTGAAATGGCGGACGGAGAAGTTTAAAAGACAACTAATGACAATAAGAGATAGCTACACCGAAGAGGTGGGAGTACCAAATACAGAAGACTGACCACGGTTCAAGTAAAATTGCTCTGACTTTTTTCAATCTGTGCTCCTATTAACGTCAATCTTTTCGCCGGAATATTCTTTAAATCCTAGCGCATATAACACACTACGCTAGTATCTGGCGATTTTATTACGTAGACAAGCAGATTACTGTTCGTGCTCTGATTACGGATGAGCATGACAATGACGGCTTTCTCGTACTTTCCATTGCCGAGCAATTCCCTCCTGGTACGACGACCACTACTAATAACTACTACTACTACTAAAAATAATAATACAATTATTTGCGAGGGTATGTCGGAGCGCTTTCCACGCAAAGAGCGATTCACGTCACAAGTGACGTCAAACAGCTGTGCCCTGCGCGGTGCCGAATGACCCAGCGCCTGGCCCGTGGGCGGGGCGGCAGCCTGCGGCGATCGCTGCCGCGTGCAGTCGTCCCCCACGGCGGGACATTTTTTGCGGGTGATCTCTTCGAATTTGGCCCGTTTGGATCGCAGCCGCCGACGCACGGGCGGTCCGCTCTCCTCGAATTACGTCGTGCGACTCGACCTCCCGACGGCCCACTGCGAAGCAGTCGACACCCCACCCCCCCCCCCACACCTCGCAGGGACTTAACCGGGGCGGCCCGCCAGATTCCAACCTGAGAAAAATCGGCGACGAGCGGCGAGGGGAGTGGGGGGGGGGGGATGGCGCGGTACCCGCTGGGGCCGCCGCTCCGCCTCCGCCCGCTCCTTCGGTAGGCCGAGTAGCCGGGCGCGACTCGCTGACGGGGCTTGCCGATCTGTGCCCCGCGCAGCTGTGGGTGGGCATGCCGGCGTGGTACGTGGCCGCGTGCCGCGCCAACGTCAAGAGCGGCGCCATCATGTCGGCGCTGTCGGACACCGAGATCCAGCGCGAGATCGGCATCTCGAACCCGCTGCACCGGCTCAAGCTGCGCCTCGCCATCCAGGAGATGGTGTCGCTCACCAGCCCCTCGGCGCCACCCACCTCGCGCACGGTGCCCACGCGCGCACACACGCGCACGCACACGTGAGCGCACACACACACACACGGCGCCATGTGTGTGTACGTGCTCGCACACACACACACACGCACACGGCGCCGTGTGTGTGTACGTGCTCGCACACACACACACACACGGGCAGCGTGACGGCCCTTGCTAACGGCGCTTGCCGCACGCTGTCCACAAGTCTAAGCGGGGAACTCACTGTCTCTGTCGTGTGTGGTGCGTCGTGTGTGGTGCGTCGTGTGTGGTGCGTCGTGTGTGGTGCGTCGTGTGTGGTGCGTCGTGTGTGGTGCGTCGTGTGTGGTGCGTCGTGTGTGGTGCGTCGTGTGTGGTGCGTCGTGTGCCGTGTGGTGGCCGTGCGGTGCGAGTAGCCCACGGGGAACGTGTGGCTGACCCACGAGGAGATCGAGAACCTGGCGGCCGCCCAGAAAACGGTACCGCTGCCCCGGCGCCGCCACGACACCTCCTGCAACCGCGATGCGCTTTCTTTTTTTTTTTCTTTCTTTCTCGTTCTCATCAGGAGCCGTGTGTCACAATACATAAGCCGATCCCTTGACATGAAGAGTAATAGTCAGCGTTTTTTAAACATTGTATGTTTTGCCAGGTAAGGCCCGCTGCGCTATTTAGCTCTTTTTCATAAGCGACCTGGCCACAAACGATAGCTCAACGAAGTGGCTTATCATCATCATCATCGTGTGGAAATTTATAGCAGCCGAATGCTCTAAATGCGTGATGTTGATTCTAAATGTGGCGAGAAAAATCGGAGGACCCGGAGAAAAATCCACACGACCACAGTGAGAGGAAGAGAGAGAGACACGCAAACTCCAAATATACAGCAGGCCTCAGGGTCGAGATCGAACCCACGACTACCTGCATACCTGGCGAGGTAGTTAACATCTCGGCCACATCCCATTCACGTGGTCTGGGCGTGGTGCGCATGGGGTTGGCAGGGTGGGTGACGCAGTGGTGATGCTCATGCCTCACAGCACTAAGGACATGGGTTCAATTCCCGACTAGGGCACCTTTGTGCGTGGAGTTTGTATGTTGTTTATATGTTGTTTGTATGTTGTTTGTATGTTCTATCTCGCCCTGTTCTGCGTGGGTTTCCTCTGCATTATCCGGTTTCCTCAATGTAACCGGTCCTGGCCAGACATCCCAATGTTGAAAAATATTTCGCAGTGAATTACCCAATTGGGATCACACAGCAGCAGCAGCAGCAGCAGAAACATCATTGGGCCCTCCCTGCTGCGAAAGCATGGCAGGACCCTCCTGAAAAATGAGTCTTGAGACACATTCGCCGAGGTTTTCCTAGGTGAGCGAGCAGGGTAATAACAATAATAAAGCAACCGCATGCGAACATCACGCAGCGGGTGTGGCGGCCACCGATGGCACAGCTGGGAGGTGAGAAGCAGCCCCCACTCTGCCCACCCCCGCCCCCGTGGCCATCAAAGCTAACGCTTGGAGCTCATCGCTCCCCGGCAGCATCTCAGACGTTCGCAACGTCGCTCGGACGTTCACAACGTCGCTCCCCCAAGTCCCCCCCCCCCCCTCCCGGCTCCCCCAACCTCCACATGGAGCCTTGCTAGTCGCCCGGCCTAGACGAAACATTTTAAAATCGGCGGCGCTAATCAGCTGCTGTGCTATTTTGTGTTATTGGGACCCCTTTTGTAGACGTTTTCGGTTTATTTAATGGCACGCGGTTGCCCCTCCCCCCCCCCCCCCCCCCCCCCCAACGTTGCCGTGCCGTTGGGCCGTCGGCGTCGAGTGATCGCGAGAGACGGACATACCTGTCAACCCATACGGTTTACGTCGTGTTGATGTGCAGGGAAAGTGAGTTTTCAGGCTCATACGGCGTACAGCCGTTTCAATACGGGCAAATAAAAAACAACGTCTTCTTTGGTTCTTTCAGTAAAGTCACGTAGAATGAGAATAAAATAACACAATGAAATTCTCACGACGTTTCGGCCACAACAAAAGTGGCCTTCTTCAGGTGAAAGGAACAAACCTGCCTGGACGACAGAGCTTCATTGTAGCTCTGTCGTCCCGACAGGTTTGTTCCGTCCCGACAGGTTTGTTCCTTTCACCTGAAGAAGGCCACTTGTGTTGTGGCCGAAACGTCGTGAGAATTTTATTGTGTTATTTTATTCTCATTCTACGTGACTTTACCGAAAGAACCAAAGAAGATGAATCCTTGCAGTCACGAAAGCTTTAAATCGAAAAAAAAACCCGTGTATTTATTTGTGTTTCTCCCTTGTGATGGGACTTTGTAGGATGAACGTTGAGATTTATAAGGGCACGGGGTGACCAATAGGGTCTGAATTGGTCTGTAATAAGGCAGGGCACTGGTAAGGGGTTGACAGCTATGTATGGAGAACCCCATCCGGATTTCCCCGCAGAGCAGTGATGTTCGCGGAAGCGAACATCGCTGAGCTTCTTCTGTGAGATCCCTTTTCAAGTGACCTCTGACCCTCAGAGCAGAGGGCAGCACTTTTCCCACCCACCCTGCAAACACAGGGAGCACTGCTCGTCGCATGACTGCAAAGCGACATGTTTAACTTTCATAGAGCTGGAACTTCGCCACATAGGTTGCAAAACCGATTTTGATGCGATGGCTTTTTTGAGCGGTCATTGGTGACCGAGCTTGAGACCACCAGCTCACTGCACTCGAGCGCCTAGTTGAATCTCACTCGGCTAGGACGATTTTCATTTTAACCTGGTGCGGTGTGTATTAAAAATCGTCACTGGGGAGACAAAGGCGTCCCGGCGTGTGGCTGGCCACACCGTGCCGGCCTTCGTAGGTGCTCGCTAACAGCACTTGCCCCAACAGTCTGTTACAGGCTGCACGGGGGATCTTTGTCTTTGTGTGCGCGTGTGTGTCTTTGCATGCGATCGTGCTAATGGTAATTGTCTTGTCCAAATGTGGCATGCGCACGTAAGGAGGAGGAAGAGTTGGCCTGGGCCCAGGTGGGTGGTGTTTCACTCCATTGTCATCACAGTCATAGTCAACAGCTCCATCATTGTCATAATCCGTATCATCATCTTCGTCAACATCGCCATCAGTGTCATCATCTTCGTCAACATCGCCATCAGTGTCATCATCGGGATCGGAATGATAATTTTCGCCAAAGCTGATTGCTGTGTGCGTATCGCACTTGTCCACCCCCCCCACACCTCCGATTATTAGCATGGTTGGCTACGTACGGTGTGAACATAAGTTCAACATACACGATACAGGGTGCTTAAAAACAAAATGTTAACACTTATATGGGTCTATCGTTTTTAATCGGAAAAGAACGGATAATACACTGTAACGTGATAACAAATGTGTGCTAATAGCTTTAAAAAGTCAAAGTGTCTCCCACGTGTTCGCCATCGTTGTCAACACGTGGCCTGGAATCTTCTCCAGTCGGTCTCCTGAGCCCCGAGGCAGCAGCACATGTCACGTGGTATTGTTGAACATTCTCAGAAGTGTTAGAACACATTTAAAAGCACCCTGTATACATGCACTCTTCTCTGTCTCTGACAAGGAACTAAATCTGTGCGCGTTGCACGCGCGTGCGGATCACACTGTTTTCCTCCTCCCACCGCGCCTCCGATTGTAAATTAGCACGGTGGCCTACGTACGGTGTGAACAATAGTTCAACGTACACACATACAGACATGGTAACGAGCCTGTGCCACTGGGTTTCTGTGCGTCTTCCTCGTCCACTCCCCCCCCCGCCTCCACCACTCCCTCCTCCCTTCTCCTCTCTTCGCTGTCCGCATAAGACCCTGGGCTACGGAGACATGAACCACGAGTGGATCGGCAACGAGTGGCTGCCCAGCCTGGGCCTCCCGCAGTACCGCAGCTACTTCATGGAGTGCCTGGTGGACGCGCGCATGCTAGACCACCTCACCAAGAAGGACCTGCGGGTCAACTTGAAGATGGTCGACAGCTTCCACAGGTCACGCACGCCCCCTCGGCCTTCCTGGATTTGGGACTACGCCTCCTCCAGAACAATAATAATAATAATGATGATGCCGTATTCAGTGGGCCCCCTCGGTTAACGGCGTTAGTTGGTTCCACGAAAACAATCGCTAATTAGAAATTATCGTTGATCGAATATAAGAAATCCATGTTAAAGGCTTAATTTGTTCCAAGACGATCGGAAGTTGACCTTTTTTCACCATAAAAACACACTCTATAATATTTAAACACGCAATTGTTTTTAAATAAACGTTATAAGAACACATTAAAGCATTAATATTATTAGAAACATGGATAAAGAATACATAGATCATAAAAAGGTGCATAAATAGAAGATAAAATAAAAATTATTGACTGAAGTTAAAAGGATTCAAGAGAGCTGTTTCCATAAGCAGCACACATCAAACATTGACAATCTAGCACAGCCAGCTCCTCTCAAACACGCTCATAAAAGGACGTCGCTGATTGGCTGAGGTCTGCCGAGTCCACTTTAGGAGCGCTCCGATTGGCCGAAATTGGCTGCCATGTGATATCGTTAGAACATATCATTAATCGAAGGTTCTTTGGTTTAACACGTAGGCTTCCGCGACCAATATTATTCATAATAAAGGTTTTCGGGTTAGATTGCGTTAGTATAAATGTGTTCGTAGCCCTTCGCCAACCCGACACAGACAGTAAGCTTTGTCACGTAAACAACGAACATTTTTACTGGTAGGAACCTCCAGGTTACACCAGCCCACAGGGGATTATTGTGTCCGTCCGTCCGTCGTGCACCCAAAAATGGGAGGGGTGGGGCTGGGTGGAGAGGGGAGGGTGGGGAGGGGCTGGGTGGGGAGGGTGGGGAGGGGAGGGGCTGGGTGGGGAGGGGCTGGTCACCCCGTGGTGCCCTTATAAAACTCAACGTTTAACCTACTCACGCCGGCTTGTGCACGCCCTCACAGTCGGGCATATTTGCGGAATACACCACGTGGTGCCGCCGTTGACCCTGGCCATTGACCGAGCAACCAAACGTTCCTACCAGCTCCCTCCGCATGAGAATGTGTTTGTTCATAGAACCAATGGGGGGGGAGCCTATGGGAGGCGAATCGTTAATCGATGGCATCGTAAGCCGAAGGACCGCTACATAGTTTGCACACTACGATATCAGTGGGATCTTTTTGCCAGTACGATGCTGCTCGACCCGAGTTACAAGTGCCCCGATGTTCGCCTTTTGGTGTCGTTCTCTGGTCTAACAATGGTGAGACGGGCCCAGAAAGAAGGCTGCTTTCTCCGGTGTAAGCTAATCGGTTTCAAAGAACAACGCACATATTATCGGAGCACGTTTGTTTGCATGTTTTTGCCACAAGTACGTGTGGTCAATGCCGACTCGATGCCTCGCATCGGTGTGTGGACATCTCAATGCCTCCTGTTTAATTGCCGGAAAGAGTAAAGCCTATCCTTGTTTTTCTTTCGGTTCTTCTCGAGCACAGGCCCGAAGGGCCGATACGTCGAAGCGGCACGGGAACAAACGGGCGCTCGTCAGGGTTGGCTCCGAAACGTTCGTAACAATGACGACGGCGTGACAACGGTAACAATCACACTTTGCGTCCGTTGCCCGCGCAGGATGAGTTTACAGTTCGGGATCATGTGTCTCAAGCGACTCAACTACGACCGCAAAGAACTGGAGAGGAGGAGAGATGAAAGCCAGCACGAGCTGAAAGGTGAGCACGGGAGTGGAGCGGACTCGGCCTGCGCACGCTGCGCGCGCAGGCGCGTGTGTGTGTACGCGGTTGGCACAGTGGGGTGGGTACAGCAGCTGATGGTGCATCTTCCGGTCATCACAGTCAGCCAACCCATGGCACCTGCTGGGTCTGTCCCGAGACCTCCTCCTGTCGCCAGCGAGCCTTCGACACTTCGCGTGGCAGCCTCAACGTGCACCTAGCCTGGCACAGGCGCCGCGGTGACGTCGCAGTCACTTAGTGGCGAATGGCGGGCGTTGGTATTGGTGTGTGTTTATCACGGGGAGCGGTGGTGCAGCGGTTAGCGCATTCTGCGCTACGAACCCAGCGACCCGAGGTTTCGATTGCCGCTCATGGCCAACATCGGTGAGGATTATTTGAACCGGTCTTGGGCCTCACCAAGGTCGACTCGGCCTCAAATGAGTATCTGGTGCGATGTGTAAAACATCACCACTGCCGATGACGCTGGTGACGCCGGTGCTGCTGATGATACTGATATTGCCGATGACGTTGATGTTGCTGATGACACTGACAATGCTGATGGCACCGGTGATCATGCCGATGATGCTGATGACACTGATGACGCTGATGATGCTGATCATGCCGATGACGCTGATGACGCTGATCATACCGATGACGCGGATGATGCCGATCACGCCGTTGACGATGCCGATGACGCGGATGATGTCGATCACGCCGATGACGATGCCGATGACGATGCCGATGATGATGCCGATCACGCCGATGATTCTGGTGTTGCCGGTGCCGGCCGGCGCTCTCCGCGTCACCGCCGCGGCGGCGCAGACGTGCTGGTGTGGAGCAACGAGCGCGTGACGGCGTGGGTGGCCTCCGTGGGCCTGCGGGAGTTCGCCACGGGGCTGCAGGAGAGCGGCGTCCACGGCGCCGTCATCGCCCTCGACGAGATGTTCGACCACGCGAGCCTCGCGCTGGCGCTGCAGATCCCCACGCAGAACACGCAGGCACGGCGCGGGCGCGGGGGGGGGGGGGGTCGGCACGCACGCACGTAAAGATCCCCCCCCCCCCGACCGTATCACCTTTAGCAGGCTGTTGTGTGTACGGTGAACTTCTTTAGCACCGTACGTAGCAAACCGGCGCTAATCGGAGGTGCAGGGGCGAAGGGCAACAAACTAAACTATATATATAAAAAAAAAATCGGTTCTAAAGAAATGAGGTTTCACTCTAGATGATGATTTTTAAAGTGCATAGCCCCAGTGACTTCCGAACATCGGAAGGAAGAGCGTTCCAGACGGCCGCAGAAGCGCATCAAACACACGAAAGGAAATACGTGTATAAGCACACACATATGCAGGTCTCCCCCGCCTGCTCCTCCCCACCCCCCGCCTTGGCAGGACCCTCCTGCAAAACAGCCTTAGAGACTCAGTGAGCCTTTCCTATAATAATAATAATAACGATAGAGCTGAGTGGCAAAAAAAATCCACGATTTCAACTCAGCCACCTCCTGAGCACGATCGCCGAGCGCCAGCGACTGAGTTGGACTTCTCCCTCCTGTGTCGCAGGCCAGACAAGTCCTGGAGAGGGAGTTCAACAACCTCCTCGCGCTGGGAACGGAGAGGAGATTGGACGAGGTGAGTTCCGCGGACGGGAGACCCCCACCGGCCGTGTCATCGAGCAGCGCTTCGGTAATCTTCCCGGAGGACGGCCGTCCATAGCTGTGCCCTCTTCTCCCGTTGCTGATTGAAGCCTCGTGCCTGCAGATAGCTTACGCAGATTTCCTCGTCCGATTGATTGAACAATCTAACCGGCAATCGGCAGAGCAATCGATTACTCATATAATCGTCACGGTGGCTGTAGTTGCAACCGGTCCGTTAGGGCGTTGTCCAAGACGTCACGATTGCATTTTTGGTGAGGCCACGTGACGGTCTGGCACAATTTAAGCCGTGAAACCCTCCACCACCCGACAGCCAAATTGTCACGCATACAGGCAGCTTAACTTGCGTGGCTTTGTCGGGTGGCATAAATTGAGCCAGATCACTGCATAGCCTAACCAAAACAAAACAAAAAATATGAATCACGACATCGGCTGGAAAAACCGACCCGTCAAGGTCACGACATTGCTCCCGCTACACGAATTCCCATCCAGCATCTCACGTCCTCCTCCTCGTCCTCCGACTGACTGGAAATCTCGTGTCTGGCTCAAATTGGCCCGCGACCGTTTCTAACGACAGAATTAATGCATTTCGCCTGCGAAGGATGGAACGATTGAATTCCCAGCCCATCGCAGAGTGGGAAGGGTCACCGTGACGGGCTTGAGCGTGCCGGCGCTGACATTTGTCGGCACGGGACACGTCCACCCGACTTCACTGCAGCCGGTATCATCGCCGTCGTCGTCATCATATCGTCGTCGTCGTAGCGAACGCGGTGCTGGTGCTGTTGCGTTGCAGCACGCCCCGTCGTGGCGCAAGCGCTTCCGGCCAAAGGACGCGCACGCGCTCTCGCTGCTCGCCGGCTCCTCGGAGACGCTGCCGCCCGGCTTCCGCGTCGCCTCCTCCGTGGGGCCCCCGCCCCCGCCGCTCCCCGCCGGCAAGCCCCTGCCCCCCGCGCCCGACGGTAACGCTCGCACGGGCGCACGCACGGGAACATGCACGGGCATACGCACGGGTACACGCACGGGCACACGCGCGGGCACAATAACAACAACAACAACAAACAACAGACGTCGTTTGCTGCCGAGTGGCCGTGACGTCAGCACGTTGCTTGCGTCAGGCTGGGTGCACTTTGAGGCGATCGCGAGTGAAGTTCTCTCCTGCCGGCACGAGGTCACGGGACCGAGCTGGCCGATAAACGTCTGGCGGCTGACCGACATTGGTTCACGCGAGCCTGACTGCCGATGAGACGCTGAATGTCAAAACCGGTCTAGAGTTGTGCTTGTGTTGAACCAGTGCCGTGGCAATTATGCACTCCCAGAAGACCGTGTTGCTGGTGGCATGTGTAAAAATACTTGGGGTCCACTGCTGGATTAGTTACTCTGATTTTAAGAGAGGGGGCGGGGGGTGGACGCTGGCACACTCGGACATCACCAAATCGTCCTTGCTCCTCGATGTCTCCTGATTGCCGTGATCTGTCTTGCGCGTTCGTTCACTCGTCCTGCTTGATAGCGTGTTCGTCCGAACGATGCGGAGAGGCGGCCTTGTAAAGCGACGTTCCATTTCCTCCTCGGGCGGATTCTTTTCTTTCTAGGCAGCTCTTCGGGCCCTCAGAGGATGGACCCCTCGGCCGTCCGCACATATTCCTGCTGAAGTTGCACCGGTACGTTCTCTCAGCTCCGCTTGCTTCTTTCTTATTCATTCATTTGCAGCTTGCACCGTTTTAGTTCACACTCTCAAGAGAGAGAGAACGATTCGGAGGCGTGGGAAACTACGGACGAGCGGGAAGGCAGCCAGAGCCGGCACCAGTAATTGCCCAAGCTCTGCGGTCCTACATTAGGATATTTGGGCGACTCCATTGACGATGGCTTGTACGTGTGGGAGGAGACCCGGTGCACCCGGAGAAAAGCCACCGAGGGAGGGACGTAGTCCTCTCTGTGCCCCAATCACGTGGGCTACAGCTGGAAGTTAACGCCTCTGCTGGCTTGCCCTACCCTGGCAAGCGGGGAGATGGCGACCTTGGCGCTTGTGCACGCGTACGTGGTGCTGGACACGCACCCCGTTGTGTGCCGTGCCCACCTTCATAGCTGCTCTCTCAATCTTCATTTGAAGCTTTCGTGACTGCAGGAATCCATACTCTTTGGTTATTTTAGGTAAAGTCACGTGGTAGGTAGGTGGAAACGATAAAATATTTTATTTTATTTTACCGAAAGAACCAAAGAGTGTCGGTGCTCGCTCATAGCACTTGCCCCGACAGTCTGTTGAGGCTATAGGGGGGGATCTTTGTCTTTTGTGTGTGCGTGTGTGTGTGTGCGTGCGTGTGTGTGAGTGCGTGTTGTGGGGAGCGGTAGTGTAGCGGTTAGCGCTACGCTGCGCTACGAACCTGGCGACCCGGGTTCGATTCCCGCTCATGGCAAACACCAGTGACGATTATCTGAACCGGTCCTGGGCCTCCCCTACGTCGACTCAGCCTCAAATGATGAGTACGTGGTGTGTAGTAAACATCACTACTCGGGAGACAAAGGCGGCCGGGCGTGGTGCTGGCCACCCACCCCATCGCGTGCCGTGCCGGCCTCCATAGGTGCTCGCTAACAGCACTGTTGAAGGCTACACGGGACATCTTTGTCTGTGTGCGCGTGCGTGCTCATTCACTTCACAGGTGAGCAGCTCCCAGACGCGCCACGCGACCAAGGATCCAGGGGAGCGGCGCGGCTTGCCGACGAATCAGCGTAACGTCAATCAACCGCCGACATTTAAACACACACACGCACACGTTTCAAACGGGACAACAACAACAACAACAAAAACACGGTCGAATTAATCGGCACTTCGTTTTATTTACTTTTGGTTGGATGGCGGTGGGGAAGAGCAGGAAATGAAGAGGGTGGCGGTGGGAGCGGTGAGAAAACGAAAGAAGAGATGGAGGAGGAATGAAAGGGAGCAGCGTGGGAAGGGGGACAGAGAGAGACTCTGTGGTGGCCAGGAAGTTGGGGAGGGGAAAGAATGAGAACACGGGTGAAGGAACAAGAGGGAGAAAAGTGGCGAAGGCGGCGGAGGGGGACGTGAAATCGACGAGAAGATGAGGGCGGTGGGGGGTTGGTGGCGGGACGCGGTGTAGCCAGAGACGTGGACAGCATCGATGGAGGATATAGGATGGGGGGGAGGAGGCCAGGAGGAGGCTCTCGAGTCGCAGACGTGGAGTCCGGCACCTGCTGAGATATCCTGGGTTCCAATCCAGGTCTCGGCCACTGCCTGCCGTTAATCCGGGTTCGCAAGTGCGGCAGGTTGACTGGCCTCAGCTCGCTCGCTCGCCGATGAATGTCAAACAAAAAATGTTGAATCCGCATCGCTTCAATTGGGCAAATGCTCTGAGAATTATACTTTTTTTTATTTTTGGTTCGGCACGGCGTTGAACACCCCTGACAGCGCGGCGTGTGGGAAAAGTGGATGAGAGGTCACTTGATCGATGGACCTCAGAAGTAGGTCCATCGATATCGCCCTTCCGCGGGCCGCTCTGTGACGCGCGGAGCGATGCGCCCGCTCTGCGGAGGTTTGCGAATGTATTCTTCGTCGCGCGGCGCCGATGGCACAACCGGGATAACATTCAGAAAAAGATACCAAAATTAACAATCTGAAATTTACGTAGAGGCGGTGGTAAATGATGACTCGCAGCAGACGCATGGAAAAGGTGACGAAAACGAAGGCACCTTGCTTTGATAATGATTCAGAGCGGTCGGTATTCACGCCGCCGTTCTTACAGCACAAGGCTCTCGCGAAGGCGCTGTGATTCTCGGGCAGAGTTTCACGGCAAGAGAGCGGTGCCGCCGTGTGTGTGCGTGCGTGGCATTCGTTCGTGTGCGTAGTCTCAAACGAGTCGTTCGCGGGTGACTTTTCAAATTGTTGTTAAATTTGGCCCGTGACGCCGAGCACACGACGGCCTACTCTCTTCGGAACGATGCCGCGGGGATCTTTTAACGGCCGCTGTGAGTGCAGCAGGTGGCGCGTGTTTTTTTATGTTTCTTTTTTTATAATTAGTATTAGTATGATTAAAAAAAAAAATTACGGTTCGCACGCCCGCAGCAATAACCAGGGCGGCCTGTCGGACGCAAGCCGCGAGCCTCCGCTAACGAGCGGCGAACGGCGCCGCCGCTGGGCCCAGGCCGATGGGTTTCGTGAAATCGAGGAAGACGCGGAGGGAACGGGCGGCGGAGGAGATGCCGGGAAGGCGGAAGGGGCCAGGGAGGAGAAGATGATAGTAGGAAGTTGAAGAGGAACGTCCAGGAACTGGAGTTGGACGTTGAGAGAAAGGAGGGAGGACAAAGAGAAGGCGGACGAGGATGTTGAGGAGGCCATGGAGCAAGCTGTTGGGAGGACACACGGAAGGTTCTGCGGGAGCTGCGGACGGCGACGTGACGCGGAGAATGCGGAGGGGAGACTTTACACCGTCGGTCAAACAGTAATCCGGAGGGGAAGTTTGTGGCTCATCCTAAGGAAAGGGAGGGGAGCGGGTTTCTCCTACAGGCAAACGTGGCGGTTCGCCGAAACGCCTCGAGGTTCGGACGTCGTCATCCGCCGTTACGTTTCGGAGCCGGCGCCACTCTCGTAGCGCAGGGCTAATCGCGAAGAAGGCGCCGCGTCTCACGGACGGGTATATCCTTGCGGTTGTTCGGCATTCGGGGGGCGATGTCGCGACGACGACGATGTCGCGGTGTGGCTCCTGCCCCGCCCTCCCCCCAGCCCCGTTGTGAAAGCACCAACGGGGCTGTCGTTTTACAGATTTCGCCAAAAGCGGTTGGAACCGTGACGCCGGCAAAACCACGTGGCCCACTCACGGGATCCGTGAAGTCCCGCTGTCAAGCAGGCGGCGCTTAGTTGTTTTCCGGTTCACGATATGCGCGCCCCGCGAGTACTAACCGGGGCGGCCGCCGGGCTCGCGCCGCGAGTACTAACCGGGGCGGCCGCTGGGCTCGCACCGCGAGCCTCTGTGACAACAAAGCGGCGATGCGCGCTACCGCTCGGCCGCATCACCTTCCACCCCCCCCCCCACTGCCCCTCCGAAAGCGGTCAAATTTCACCGCTCAAATGATACGTGGGAGATGACGCACAACATGGCACGCGTGTAAGAAATGTTCACGCCAATTTGAGTGCACAAAGCAACAAAGGAGACGGGGAAGGAAATAAAAGCGAGAAACGACACACGTGACGTAACTCGACACGAGACGAGGAGGAATCCCAACAAGTGAGGGGAACATTTGTTTTGAGACGGAGCTGAGAAGAGACAAACAGCACAAATGATTCGACCGGAGTGCAGACGCAAGAGACGATACGAGACGGTGCAAACAGGAAAGTGTGTAAACCAGACCTAAAAAATATCAACGTATACAAATTACTCGCGCAAGACGACACGGGCAACACAAATGGAGGCGGCTGACGTGAACGAGAGACAAAGCCAACAAGCCAAACAGCGCAAACGAGATCGAACAAACGGGATCGTGGGAGTGAGACCGAACAAAGTACAGCACGTGAGACAATTAACATCGAGCCAGGTACAATCAGGACAGACAATGAGACAGACAATAGACAAGAGAGACAATAGACAATGAGACAGACAATAGACATACAATTAGACAGAAATAGACAATGAGACATACAATATACAATGAGACAGACAATAGACAATTGACAGACAATGAGACAGACAATAGACAATGAGACAGACAATAGACAATGAGAGAGTCAATAGACAATGAGACAGACAATAGACAATGAGACAGACAATAGACAATGAGACAGACAATAGACAATGAGACAGACAATAGACAATGATACACAATAGACAATGAGACAGACAATAGACAATGAGACAGACAATAGACAATGAGACACAATAGACAATGAGACACACAATAGACAATGAGACAGACAATAGACAATGAGACAGTCAATAGACAATGAGACAGACAATAGACAATGCGACAGACAATAGACAATGAGACAGACAATAGACAATGAGACAGACAATAGACAATGAGACAGACAATAGACAATGAGACAGACAATAGACAATGAGACACAATAGACAATGAGACAGACAATAGACAATGAGACAGACAATAGACAATGAGACAGACAATAGACAATGAGACACACAATAGACAATGAGACAGACAATAGACAATGAGACACACAATAGACAATGAGACACAATAGACAGACAACAGACAGACAATAGACAGACAACTGACAGACAATGAGACAGACGATACAGAACAAGCGGCCGTGAGTGCGACGTTACGAAACGGGATTGATTGATTCCCGGGATGGACTCGCGATCTGGAATCATGCGAACCGGTAGATTCTCGGACGTGGCGAGCGAACGAACCAGTGAGTGGTTGCCGTGCCTCACAGACAACCCGTTCCACGTGGAGCTCAGCGACTGGGATGCTTCCCTACTGACCGTCACCCTAAACCAGGGATGGGGAATGTCCGGCCCGTGGGCAGTATGAGGCCCGCGAAATCATTTGGTCTCTGGCCCTGCCAAGGCAACCGCAGGCGGGGCTCGAAAATCAATGAATCTAGGAGCAAACCTGGAAAAGCAGTTGCAAGTAGCAACATCGTCAATACCAGCTAACATCATCACACGCCTCGCCAAAGAGAAGCAGTTCCAGCCCATCGCATTAGGGGCGAGTTAATTAAATGTTTGACCAAATATAACAGGCTGATTTTTAAGTTGATAATCTTGTATGGCCCGCGAATGATGTTATATAAATATCCAAATGGCCCTTGGCAGAAAAAAGGTTCCCCACCCCTGCCCTAAACTATAAAAAAAATATTTTTTACCAGGTTAAGGCCCCACTTGGCTACTATACAGGGTGCTTCAAAAAAATGTGAACACTTCCGATAATTTGCAACAACTCCACGAGAAATGTGTCACCTGTGGGTTCTGGAGACCACCTGGAGAAGATTCCAGGCACGCGTTGACAACGATGGCGAACAAGGGAAGACTCTTTGACTTTTTGAAACTATTAATATCCATTTGTCATCATTTTACAGTTTATTATCCGTAAATTTTCCATTAAAAGCGATAGTCCCATATAAGTGTTAGCATTTTTTTTAAGCACCCTGTATGATAGCTGTTTTTCAGACCCGGCCATCACAGATGATAGCTCAAACGATGTGGCTTACCACCATCACGTGGAAATTCATAGCAGTAGCCAAACACTCTAAACGCGTGACGTTGATTCTCAATGCGGATGAGGGAGAGGGGGGGGGGGGCGAAAACAGAGGAGCCGGAGAAAAATCCACGCGACCACGGGTAAGAGGGAAACTCCAAATATACAGCAACAGGCGTCAGGGTAGGGTTCGAACCCACAACCTCCTGTATACCAGGCGAGGTTGTTAACATCTCCTAGCCACCGTGGCTCCCTCCCCATGCTGAAGGTGTAGCAGGCCACGCATGTTGACCAGCCGAGAAGGAACGGACCTCAGAGACTCCACTTTCGGTGGGGAGCGATTGGCTTCCGGCTACGACCATTGTTCCGCACGCTGCCGTCACCGAGCCCCGTGTTCAAGTTGACACCGAGCTGTTCAAAGGAACGAGACTCTTTGTTCAGTTGTTTTGTTCGGCCTTGAGTGTGAGTGAGTGCGCGAGTGAGTGTCAGAGTGAGTGTCAGAGTGAGTGTGTGGAGTTTGTATGTTCTGCAGCTGTCCTGCAGAGTGTGAGTGTGAGTGAGTGTGTTATTTACCTGTCCTGCACAGTGTGAGTGAGTGTGAGAGTGTGGAGCTAGTGTGTTATTTACCTGTCCTACAGAGTGTGAGTGTGAAGTTAGTATGTTATTTACCTGTCCTACAGAATGTGTGAGTGAGTGTGTGAAGTTAGTGTGTTATTTACCTGTCCTACAGATTGTGTGTGAGTGAGTGTGAGGGTGTGGAGCTAGCCTGTTATTTACCTGTCCTGCAGAGTGTGAGTGAGTGTGAGAGTCAGTGTGTGTGGAGTTAGTACATTCTCTCACTGTTCTGTATGGGGTTCCTCCGGATTCTCCGGTTTCTCTTCCATAGCTGTAAAAAAATGAATACAAACATTGTAATTGGTATTTGGCAAATACCCCAAGGCTTACAAATTACTCAATTGGGTATCACACTGAGAAACGTCGCCCATCCCGCGCAGCGAAAACCTGAAAAAAGTGTCTTGAGACTCAATAAGGAATATATATATATTATTTCCGATAAACAAGCGTTATGATAATAATAATCAGCATTCCCTGGTTTCATCTAACTGCTGAGTTCATGGAAGGTAAATCCATAATTGGACAATTTCTCTATAAAATGTAAAATCCGCATCCTCTGAAGTGCCGTACCATACGTACTTTACGCACGTACGCACAATGAGATATATATCTATGTCATTGCATTAAAGGTAATTTATTTGCGTCTAACGCACTGCATAGACACGGAGCAAAACCCTTTCACGGGGTTGATGACAATTATCCTGGTCTGCAGTGTCGGTGGCGTTCCCGCGTGCATGTGAGTGTTGTGTGTTCATTGTGTATCATAGATGCTCTCTTCTTTCATCCGAAGTCGCTACCGTGTGCGACTTGGTCGGGAGCGAGCGAGCAGAGCTCCGTTCGGAGTGTGCCACACTTTTGTCTTCAATGGAAGATGTACAAAAGAGAAACGAGGAGACGCCTGAACGTTTGCAACAAAACCTGAAAAATTGTCGAGGGGCAGGCGGGAGTGGAAAATTCGTTTCAGGAATTCGCCGTTGGGAAAGGCGAAATTAAATTACAAATTGTAGTCGTCGCGAGCGTTTGGGGAATTGTGATCCTTCGCCGCTGAGACGCAGAGAAATTCATCTGCGCGTTTGAACGTTTTTAGCGATGGGGGGGGCGGGGGGGGGGGGCGTTGCTCCTCGTCGTCGTGAGCGACAATTGAAAGATGCAGAGCAACAGCTGCGATTTCACGTTCATGTGGTCAAGCCAGATGACCGCGCCACAGAGCGGGTGGAGTATCACCGCTGCGATGTCTCCTGTGCCGGATTATCCTCGTAGCAAAAGTAGCTACTACATATGTAGCTACGGGCTCCGCACTTTCAAGGGGCCCCGCGCTAAATGCTTCCAAGCTATCAATTCTGGTTCAGTGATTCTTGCACTTGCTCTATTACTATAGTACTATTCCGCCTTCAACTTTTCTGAACGACTAGCGTGTTTAAGGTTAGCGATTTGTCGTATTATCTGGCTGTGTATCAAATGAAAAAATGCAATTAATTGACTATAGAAGTTAAAAATGTGTTTTTAATTTTTAGGTTATTTTTTTTTAATATAAGGCCCCTTTATAACATATGCTACAGGCCCCGCATTAGCTTAATCCGGCACTGGATGTCTCCTTCGCATTTGTGGATCGGGGCATTGCGTCGTTTTGGACGTTGGCCACGGTCCCTGTTCTGGATGACCGCGGTCGCGCTACCACGCCCGAGGAGTTTTGTAATTCTCCGCGCGGGCGTCAGCGATGAATCCGCAACTACCGCCCCGACGGTGCGCGCAGCGGACGCGATTTTGGGGGGTTGTACCCCGCATGAGTTTCGTGGAAAATCAAATCCCCGCGGTCGGCTCTTTCACAACACGAAAAGGCGGTTGCCTTAGTTTTGTTTTGAACTTCCTCGAGGGCCAACTTTGGCGCAGTGGCGCCGAGGTGGCGCTTCTGCTGCCCGTGGCGTGCATCTGGCGCTTGCTTTGCCTGAATCCTTCCACGGATTCAGAAAGCGCCTCGCATTTTGCTGCTCGTCTCAATTTATAAAAAAAAAAAATCTAAAAATGGTTTGGAATGGCAACCACCCAGGTGGGTAACTCTATCCCCTGTTCGGCGGCGCGAGGGGGGTTGTTTGTCAGCTTTTTTTTATGCCGGGGTTGTCACTGGACCCGCCAGGGCTGCGTGAAACTCGTTATCGACCAGGTACGGGGCGGACTCGATTATTTTCTGATGTGTTGTGGATAGTTGACATCACGTGGTGTTACTACAGTGTGTGTGTGTGTGTACAACGCCGACATACACGGGGTTTTACCAGTCGCACACACAAATGAAAGCCACAGTGTGGTCGAGCCGTATGATACAAGGACCCCCCCCCCCCCCGTGGTGCCATGTGGGCCTGGGGCTAACTAGGCTAGACGATCCTGAGGAAGCTTTCCGGCGCGTGGAGCGAAACGTCGGACGTCTTTTGCCGTGTTGGCTGCGCGTGAGGGAGGGCGAACGGCGTGACGCACCCACGCGGACGCTTTGGTTGTTGTTGTTGTTTGTTGTTGTTTGAACATCACAGAGTTCCTCTGGGCACAGGCCCCGCCCCCACCTCGACGGCCCAAAACGCCACAGCGGCCAGCCACAAACAGGAGGACTCGATGGGCCCCGATGCGTTTCTTGAATTGGGGGGAGGGGGGCGGGTTGGAACGCGCTGCAAACTCTTCGGGCGGAGGCGCGGGAAGCGAGAAAGGCGAGCGGGCGAGTCGGCAGCAACAACAAAAAAACATTGTCCAAGCTCTCGCGGTCCCACATTTGGATGTTGGGCCAACACGGGAGACGCAACAGACAC